ATGGAGTGGGAGGAGTCTAGGGGGGTGTAGAGTGGTGGTGTGTGTACTTCTTTATTGTTAAAGGATTGGCCCTGGCTATCTTTGAATTGCCTAAGTCCTTCCTGAATAGGAACTACTGTGTGTTACAGAAAGCTGGAAACAAAACCCATTCTAGGACCCTGGGAGGAGCAGCAGATGGGAAAGTTAGGAAGAGGAATTTTAACCCCATAGACCGGCAGGCATCTCTGAGTGGAGGGACCTGTGGTGCCTTCTCTGCTCAGAGGCTGCCCCTTGGTTCTCCAGAGAACCCACTTTTGGATAAATGATAAAAGCACTTCTCCAGGGTGAGGACAGTGGTGTTGAAAAGAGTCTCACAGAAGCCAGAAAGAAAAGAAGCACATAGACAAAGTCTGGCCAATCCCACCCAGTGAGAATAATACCACTACCAAAATTTTTGAGCCAAATTTGAAGCAAGCTTTATTAAATACTGGCCAGGATGATGGACACTGGCCAAGTCCGTACCTGGAATTCCCAGCGTATGGCAGTAAATTAGATTAGGCAGGGGCTTATAAAGGCAAGACCTACAAGGCTACATACTTCCCACCATCGTCCAATCAGGGGCAAGCTTACATCCTGACATACTTCCTGCCTACGTACCTCCTGTTTAAGTGTGATCAAGCACTTCCTGTGCAGTTGGGCAACCAAGCTTGTTTATAGAAGCAAAAACATGTGGCTTGTTATCCTACATGAACAACAGCCCCCAGCATTCTAGGAAGTTATCTGTCCTTGGGCAAGTGGGGCTTATAGGTTACAGGCATTTTTGTTTTATAGATGTCTTTTTGTTGTTGTTGTTTTGTTTTGTTTTTTCGAGACAGGGTTTCTTTGTTTAGCTTTGGAGCCTATCCTGGAACTTGCTTTGTAGACCAGTCTGGCCTGGAACTCACAGAGATCCACCTGCTTCTGCCTCCTGAGTGCTGCGATTAAAGGCGTGAGCCACCACCGCCCGGCTTGCTTTATAGATCTCTTAAACATAACAATTTAAACTTAAAACATAACTGTAGTCATCACAAGTCAAGGTAGAGACTTGGGAAACCTGGGCAGAGGCAGATCATGTTTCTGTCCAGCTGTTTAGTTTTTTCTTGTTATGTTTTGAGTTTTGGTGTTTGGAGACAGGTTCTCATTCTGAGGCTCAGGTTGGCCTTGAATGTGTAGCAGTCCTCCAAGTGCTGGGATTATGGTGCTGAGTCTCATACCTGCTCTGTCCAGCTTCTGAGGAGGAAGACAAGAGTCTTTCCCCCTTTTTGATGTTTACGTTTACTTTTGCTTCATCATTTTATTTACATGGTAAAATACATTATTGTTCCCATCTTTAATTTAGTGATTTTTATTGTCCCCAGAGTTGTTAAGAGTCAAAGCCTGGACCTATTTCGGGCTGCCTGTCCTCTGTAGGCCAGTTAAAGAAAGACGTAAGAGGCCGGGCGGTGGTGGCGCACGCCTTTAATCCCAGCACTCGGGAGGCAGAGCCAGGCGGATCTCTGTGAGTTCGAGGCCAGCCTGGGCTACCAAGTGAGTCCCAGGAAAGGCACAAAGCTACACAGAGAAACCCTGTCTCGAAAAACAAAAACAAAAACAAAAAAAAAAAAAAAAAAAAAAAGAAAGACGTAAGAGTGAAGAACAGAAAAAGATTTATTCGGTATGAGGCCACATTGGGAGAGGAGCAAAGCAGGGTCGTCCCCCAAATCCGCCTTCTGACAGGTTTAGGTTTAAATAGGGAGCAAGATGTATGTATAGCTGAGCAGTGCTAGTCCAGGGGTCCCCCTCCCCATCACTGTCTGGACTCCAGTCTGTTCTGCAAGGTGGTCTGACAAGTTGTCGGACCTGTGTAAAGTCTCTTTCTTGGGGACGAGTTGCCCCTCTGGCTGGCACTGGACTTCAGCCCTTTTTCTCCCATCATGAGATACCTGAGGAAATTGAGAATTTTTTGAGGGGGAGGTGGGTCTATTGTCTCAGTAGTTTGATAGCCAAAGGGAGAGAGACGGTGTCTTTAGAATATCTTCTTCATTACTTTTCCTCAAGGACTGTTTTCTTTAGAATAAATTAATCACCACTAGATGGCACAAGACCCCCATCACTATCTGTACATGTTAGTTTTTTTGTAAAGATTCTTTTCAAAAGATAGACTGCTAATGTATAGGTTTAAAAATATATATATAAAACCTATTCTAATGTTTCCTTTTAGAAAGAATAAAAATCAAAGATCAGAATAAATGTAATTGGCCCTAGATATAACCAAAACAAATATTCTAGAATAGGCATTTTGTCTGACTTGCACAATGTGGTGGCACAGACCTGTAATATCAGTGCTTGGGAGGCTGGAGCAGGAGAATTGGAAGTTTAAGGCAGCCTGGAAGAGAGAAATGGCAAGACCTGTCGAGGTGGGGATATCGAACATACACAGATTCTCTTGTCATTGTTTCCTAAATAATATGGCATATAAACTATTCATACAGCATTTATGTTGTGTTAATAGCCTATGATCTAAACTGTGCATGGGTTCCATGCAAACACTCTGGTATCTTGGGAAGGGGTCTGGAACCAGTCTTCCAGCATTCTAAGGGATGGTTGTGTTGTGGCCTGTGTGCACTACAGAGAGCAGGCAGTTTTTGAGGAACATAATGGCGTGGTCTTTGTTAATATGTGGGTCATATCTGAAATCTGAGTCTCATGCACAAATGCTTTACTTAGTTTGTTGAGATTTTTTAAAAACATAGCTTTTAAAAGACAAATAGCTTGCTCTGACCCCAAATGATGTCTTTCATTGTTTTCTTTTCTCTATAATCTTTTAGTTTTGAAATTATAATATAATTGCATCATTTACTCCTTTCCCCTTTCCTCTCTCTAATCTCTCCCATGTAAACTCCACTCCCCATTTTTTCTTAAATTCATGACCTTTTTTTTTTTTCCTGTATTTTTTGGGATATGTGTATGAGAGAAAGATAGGGGGGTGTTTCATTTCTTGAAATTTCATTTCTTAGAAATTGAAGGCTCTGTTTCACACTGAAAAGTATTTTGCTTTTAAGTGAATGTGTCTGATTACTGCTTTGTGTTTGTGTTATGTATGTACATAAGAGAGATCTGTGAGTGTAGACACAGTTACAAACAGTTAAGTGCTGATCATTTGACTTGGGAAGATTAGGGAAGACAATATCAGACTCAGCCCACATCCTGCCCTCTGCCTCAGCCTAACTCAGAAAAGTTAAACTAGCCTTAACAAATAGTGGCTTCTTCCACCCCTGCCTTGTTCACACAGCCTTCTGTAGTCACAGAGCATGGTCCCTGCCGACCTGTTGTTTGGCAGTATCAATCCATGGTGGTAGATGTATAGTTTTGTTTAGAAATGGTGACACTATACCTTTAAAATGGCCTTTAATTTAGCTTTAGCCATTGAAACTCTTAAAAGATAGTGAGTTAGAGGCTACACTGAGACCCTGTCTCAAAAATAGAGAATTCTGGCCGGGCGGTGGTGGTGCATGCCTTTAATCCCAGCACTCGGGAGGCAGAGCCAGACGGATCTCTGTGAGTTCGAGGCCAACCTGGGCTACCAAGCGAGTCCCAGGAAAGGCACAAAGCTACACAGAGAAACCCTGTCTCGAAAAAAAAAAAAAAAAAAAAATAGAGAATTCATAATAAAGTTTTTTGACTTTTCCCCATGGACAATGTGTGTGTATATTATAATTACATCATTTACCCCCTTTCCTGTATATGGAGTCCATTACATTATTAAAAAGGGACTGAAGCCTCACCCTACCCTCACCTCACAGCCCTTTTCTCAGTATAGTTAGACTCCTTAGAGCTGCTGCCTGGGAGTGGTCTCTGAGGGACTGTTGACCGGCTGCTGTTTGCCATCCCAGTGCATCATGAGTATGAGTATGAGCACAGGTACAGGGGAATCGTGGGCCAGTATGTAGAGCTCTTGGAAATCTATGAATATTAATAGGATCTTACCCAACTTACCTTCCTATATTGCCCTCCGTCTACATTTGTTAACCAGAAGTTTAAGAACTAGGACTATTTGGACAGAGTGTAATAAGACTATAGTTGTTAAAATGTAAGTAATCAAAAACTAACCATATACGTAGAAAGTCATCAAATACATTTTAATTGAGCTTGTAATTTAAATGCTTTTGCTTAATTCTTTCTATTACAGTTCCCCAAATTCCTTTAAAGAAAAAAGCGTAACAGAAGCATTACAAGGAAAGCATGTCATTTTAGACACCTACAAATGCGTGAATAGTGGGCTTGCCCTACAGGAACTGTGCCTTACAGGATTGTAGGTGGGCCTGGGGTGTATCATAACTTGGAATCTTCCATAGTACAGCTAAGACTTTGATCTCCATACATGAATATATAATACGAATATTATTTTCCTCGTTCCTACTTGACCCCTGAGCCCAAGCCATGGAAAAGAGGCCTTCCCTCTGTGTGAAGGCGGGTGTTGACCTCGAGTCTGACTGCGTGCATTGTCACAGTCTTTTGTTGCCTCCCTCACCTGACCTCATCTCAGGCAAATAAGGACAGAGCAAGAACAAGGAAGTCCTCCTGAGCTGCCTTTCCTTAATGCCACCAACAGATCTAGACTTAATCAGTATTAATGATAGAGCTGTGTGTTGAGCCTTGGGGCCAAGAGCTTGATTACATTATCTCATTATTATACATAAGTCAACTGAGATTTAGAGTTTGGCTAAAATCCTGCCGTTAGTAAATGGAGGCACTGTGCTTTGGCAGGGACGGTGAGGGTGGGGAGTACCTAAGTTCCCAGCATCCCAGTTTGACCTGGAACTTCCTGGGTTGCTGAGAATGGCCTTCCTTGAACTCCTGATACTCCTGTCTCTATCTGTTTGGAGGCAGATATTAGAGACATGCACTACTATGCCAGACTCTTATGATGATCTTGTGTTCTGCAGTGTACTTCTGGCTGTTTGAAGGTAACCAAGGTTGTGTCGTTTTGCCTCCTTTTCTAGGGCTTCCTGAAGAATGAAAAAGATAATGCACTGTTATCTGCCATTGAAGAGTCCCGGAAGAGGGTAAGAATGCAACCCAGAGTACAGATGCATGAGTGACATTGCTCCTCAGTGGAGTGCAGGTCCTGGCTGATCTGCTTCCTTTGTCCCAGCATGATGGCAACACCTTTTTTTTTTAATTAAAATTTTGGTTTATGCTTTCATTTATTTTTAGTAGAGGGGCATGTGGGGGTCAGAAGACAACTTTAGCAAGTTGGTTATTTCCTTTTACCATGTGGGTTTTGGGGTCAAACCTGGGTTTTCAGGTTGGCAGCAAGCACCCTTACCCACTGAGCTATCCTGCTGGCCTGATGTCAACATACTAACTTTTTCTCAAGCGCTTTTAAAGTATGTTTGGTACACTAAATGATGGCAAATAGATCAGCCAGAGTAACCATTATACATTCTAGCCTACCTCCACCCTACAAAATGCTCTAAACCTGAAAATATCAGAACAGATGATTTTAAACAGATGTTTCTGGATGCTTTCATTCTGGGAGCATATGATAATTGTTAGGTGAGATTCCCAAGAGACGGTATAGAGTCCAATGTCTGATAAAGTGCGTATTTTGCAAAAGCATTCTTTTTTTTTTTTTTTTTTTTTTTAAAGATTTATTTATTATGTATACAGCATGTATGACCAGAAGAGGGCACCAGACCTATTACAGATGGTTGTGAGCCACCATGTGGTTGCTGGGAATTGAACTCAGGACCTCTGGAAGAGCAGTCAGTGCTCTTAACCTCTGAGCCATCTCTCCAGCCCGCAAAAGCATTCTTGAATGGTGACCATAGTGATTAAGTTTTGGATCCCCAGTTATTAGGTATTCTCTGCTGCCAATGTAATAAGTCAATCAAACAGAATTAATAAGTAAGTCCAAGTTTTAATAAACAGAGTGAAACAGCTTGTGGGTAACTCTCAGGAAGGCAGGAGAGAGAACAGGAGAGCACCGGCAGGTATGGTGACCAGGTGGTAAGTAGCCTGTAGGCATGGTCTTGAGTAGACCCAGGGAGGGGCTGACTCTTGGCGGGCTTTCTTAGGAGTGGGGTCTGGGGAGACAGAGGTGGGGCTTCCACCTAACCATAGAGGTTATTTCCTTTACTAACGAGAGTTATATCTCCTTTTGTTTTTGACAATGATCACAGCCTTTCAGTAACATCCCAGTTCAGAGTAAGCATTTGGAGACTCCTAAGAGGTCTTTGGGGAAGAAAGAGAAAAGGTTAGCTGTCAGGTTGGAGCTGGCTCTGAGAAGGTGGCTTTTCCTGGAAGCGCCTGCCAGTCTGCCTGCTGTAGCTCTCTGCAAAGGGAATTGGATGAGGAGCACTGTTTCTCTGTTTCAGTGTTTATTTACTTAGCTTGGATGTCAAGTGAAATGTGTTTCTGTATTATTTGTGTCGTCTGAAAAGTAATGAAGTGAGAAGTGCTTCTACTCAGTGTGCTGTATTAGAACACTCTCCGAAGGTGCAAGTCCTCAGCAGGACTGATAGGAGACGCAGCTGCCAAGGAAGGGGCTTGCCCTCTCTAGTGTGCAAGAAATGTTCCAAAGGCAGTAAGTGACCAGTAAGGGAATGCTAAATTTCATTAATTACATTGTTGGCAGCCGTTCTTAGTCCTGGAAATAGAGAGATTCATTTGATTTAGATTTGAAGACATTTAGAAAGATTTTGTTGTTGTTGTTGTTGTTCACACTCTTGAATTTCTCACCAAAATTGATTGTCCTGCTATAAAAGACCAATGAAATTAAATTAGGATTCTTGAATGCCTCCAAACCTTATTAATCCATTTACTCTGCAGAATGTGTTTCTGAAATTGGCAGTCTCTAAATATTGTGCCATACTGAGACTAAATGTGCAGCCAGCCAAAACATTTAGGTGACATGCCACAGCACAAAATGTGTGCATATGTGTTTATGAGGGAGACATTCCAGTGTTGGGAGTCGGCCTGAGGGGCACCTCTGACTTGGCTGAACAGTGGAAGGTTGCTGCTGAGCAAAAATCATTTTCAATAAAAATGATTAAAAAAATAAGCAGCTTCCTGGCGTTTTGGTGGCAGTTTCATGTCTGAATAACTTGCCAATGTCCTGCTGAAATGCCAGGAAAACAGGCCAGAAAACCACAACTGTGTCCTTGGTTCTCCCATTTGGTGCATCCCAGCGGAGACAATGTGACTCTCAGCACACACAGTGTTTCTAAAAGCTGCAACTGCCTGGAAATCAGATGCTAAGCCAGAGCTATTGCCCTCTTCCTAATAGTAAAATGAGTGAGGAGCTCCCAACCTGTTCTTAATTCAGTCACCCGGTTTGATCCCTGCCCTTTTTTTTTTGACTGTGTTCTACAGGTAATGCTTTACACACATAACAGTAATAGTGATTCAGCTTGAATTTTAATAGTGCCCCACTGCTTTGGTATTTTCCCTGTGCTTGCTTTTGCCTTCATTTTGTTTTCAGCTCTCTGCATTCCTTTTCATCCTACCCTACTCTTTCTGTCTCCTTCCAGCCTTGCTTCAGACCTCACTCCCCTTTTCTCGAGGTTTTCACTTGAGTAGCTCTCTTGGTTTCTCTTTAGTCACCACTCTTTTTTGTGTATTTAGTTCAGTAGTTCAGACTCTGCTAGAAACCCAGTAGGGCACCGTCAGACACACGGACACACGGGTGGCTGTTCATCCCTGATTGGCCCACAGATCGGATGTTCCATTACCTCTGGTGTAATTAAGATAAGCTGGGGGTGGTGTGGTTAAGAGAAGAGGATTTTAATGTTGGGCCATTTGTTTTTATATTACGCTCTTTATCGTACCAACCATGACTAGGATGGCAGTGTTTAGGCTGCTGGCTGTTTGTAAATAAGTAGCCTGGCATCCTTCTCCAGGACATGTGAGCACTTGAGTCCCCAGAGCTTCCACTTTTCAGAGCTGTTTGGTATTCCTCGAAGTACCAGGATAGCCCAACAAATGGGGTGGGGGTGGGTGGGTCTAGTTAATACCTACTATTGTCACTTTAACCCTTATCTGATGCTGGAATTTTGACCACTGTCCTCATCCCTGACTTCTGGGGTGGAGATTGTCTGTGTTCTTCAGCTGTCTTTACTACTTTCTTTGCTGTTATTATTAGCCAGAGACCATGTCTCCAAGAGAAACCCTGCTGACGCTCTAGTGTCCTGGGCCAGTGCCACAGCTCTGCTTGTGTCTTATTTGCTCTTGTGAGCTCTTCATCCCACCTGCCCTGGTCCTCCTGCCACCTGAACCCTGAACTTTGCGGTGCTGGGAGAGGCTCAGGTTAAAGAGGAGGTGGATGTGCCACTAAGACGAGCTTGAGGAAGAGTGTGGCACATTCTGGAGGGTCACATCTAGGGAATAGTCTCTTTGCTCATTTTGACTCCACCTTTCTGATCCAGTACGTTTCTCTAGTCAGAATGTACAGCTTCTGTGTTTATGTTTATGTGTGTGAACAGGAGACAAAGATTTTCTCTATGTATATTTCAACTCTGGCCAACCGGCTCGCCTACCTCCATACCCGACACCCATGCTGTCTGATTCTCAGTACAAAAGACTGTTTTTAAACTTACATTCATTTCTCCCATATCTTCAGAATACATTGTAGAAAGGGGTACAGAATGTGCTGTCCTCCTTCCTAGTCATTTTGTGTGTATATATGTATTGTATCCTTATTCTTTTAGCCTACATTTTAATAAATACTATTCAAAACTCAGTGCATTTGTGAAAGAGCATATTTAATTTTTCTAATAGTTCTCCACAGTTCATGTGCATAACTATTATCAGTATAAATTATCTGCATTGCCCAAAATAAAACAGGCATTACTAATATGCTCTCAGTGCTGCCTAATTAGATGCCAATCTCATTTTAGGTAGATGGCCTTTTGAAAAGTGAGCTTTAGCTGAGAGAAATGTGCTCTCTCAGTTACAGAGTTACAGGCTGAGCACAGCCTCCCCTCGGTGGAGCCGTCAGCTGGTGCAGTTCTGTCTTCCTGTCTTCCTTTGCTGCTTACTTTCCCCTCCTCCCACCCCTCTGTTTCTCTCTCTCTTTTTTCCTGAGTGCCTTTGTTCTGGGAGCTTCCTGTCTTGTCTCTGTCAGTTGACAGTAATGTAGACATTTTTGGTTACAAAAAAAATTAGTGTTTTAAAATACATAAATAAGGAGAGGTGTTTTTTGTTTTTGTATTGTTTTTGTTTTTGGTCTTTGGTGTTTGTTAAATCTTAAGATACCAATGTTTCACCATTATTTTATGTTCTCAAAAAAAAAAAAGTTCTACTGTGGTTTGTGATAGATAGCTTAATTCCAAAAGTCTAGTAAAGATATCTGTCTTAAGAGAGGCTCATCATCACTAATCATTAGGAAAACACAAATCAAAATGACCATGAGCTACCTAACTCTCCTATTCAAAACAACAACATCAAATAGTAAGTGTTGGTGAGAATGTAGGGAAATGGGAACCCTGATTCACTATTAGTAGGGATGTAAAGTATGTATCCTTTATGGAAACATGTAGCCTCAGAAAATTAAAAAGAAGATGATTAATATGATGCCAGCGATACTGCATCTGAGTATATCTCCCAAACTGAAGGCTGGGACTTGAAGAGATACCTATATACCCATGTTCTTAGCAGTGTTATGTACAAATGGAAAGAAAGTGTGGCACGTGCTTCAATGTGATGGCCTTTAAGGACTGCTAAATAACGTAAGCCAGTCATAAAAAGATAGAGTGTGTGATTTCACTTCTGTGAGATAACTGGAGTGATCACACTCGGACAAAACAGGCTGATTGTTGCCAGGGTCTGGGTAGAGAAAGGAGCAGCCTGTTACTGGTGGACAGCTGCAGAGCTGCTTCACCTTTGTGTAAGCGTTGTAAGGATGGAGGTGGAGACCACTGCGCCTGTACTTCATGCCACCGGAACCTGGGGCTGGAGAGACGGCTCAGCAGTTAGCACTGGCTGCTCTTCCAGAGGACCTGGGTTCGATTCCCAGCACCCACATGGTGGCTCACCATTTGTAACTCCAGTCCCAGCAATCTGATACCTCTTCCAGCCTCCAGATGTGCATGTGGTGTGCAGACATGCATGCAGACAAAACAGCTATAAACATAAAATAGTAAAATAATTTTTAAATGGTAAAGCCTATGTATGCTTTTCCACAATTTAATAAGAGATTTTAAAAATGTCTTCAAGTCAGTGAAGTATAGAGCATGTTATAAACAGTAGTTAACAAAGTTTTTAAATGATAAATTTTAAAATGGATTTTTTTTTTCTGGGTATGCTTGTGGAAAAGTGGTCGGTGGGTGGGGGGCTCCTGTTTTGCAGTCAGTGTGGTTTTAAAGGGAAGCAGTCTGCATTTCCTCACTGGGTCCATGTCTGTCCCTCTCTGACAGACTTTTGGGATGGCTGAGGAGTATCATCGAGAATCAATGCTGGTCGAGTGGGAACAAGTGAAACAGAGAATCCTGCACACGCTGCTGGCGTCAGGAGAGGATGCCCTTGACTTTACCCAAGAAAGCGAGGTAGGTCGGACCAGATAACAATTATTAGTTAAAATATCAAGTCCCAGTGTTTGTCTTAATGCTGTTGATTAGTAGTTGTACTAAGTCATAATTTTTCTTCTCTTTTAAAGATTCAATTTAAAAAATACAGTGTAGAGCCGTGGTTCAAAATTAAAACACCCCATCTCCAGATACCCTGTTCTATTCCCCTTTGTATTCCTAAGTGTCACTGTTACTTCTTCCATCCACATTTCTAGCATTGCTTTGTACAAGTGTACATGTCTGAGAGTCCATTTTAGTTTTGTGTGTACTGTACACAAAGTTAGCTGTGTGTTCTCTTCTCTGTCTTTCTTCTTTGTCTCGCTGCATGGTGGAGGTCTTTCCTGCAAGGAACTTTGGGGGCCGCATCTAGGTCTAACAGACCTGTCTGCCGTTGTGCCTGCCATGTGTTCACCATGGAGGAGGGGTGGGCAGTCCTGGACCCGAGATCCTGAGTCACTAGTGTCCAGTGAGGCCTTGTGCAAGCTGTTGAGCCCTGCAAACAGACCTTCGGGGTCTGGTGAAGTAGCATTATGGGGGCAGATCAGTGACGACTGGAAAGAACCCGACTCACAGTGACTCTTCCTCCCTTACTGCTTGGTTTTCTTGTTTAAGCCCTAGCTAGTCTGGGACTCCGGTGTCTGCCCACCTCTGCCTTCTGAGTGCTGGGATTAAAGGCATGTGCCACTGTGTCTGGCCCTGTTGTCTTTTCTAAACGAATTTCAGAGTTGGGGATGTGGTTCAGTTAGTTTAGCATTCACAAAGTCCTGTTCAATCCCCAGTATTAAGGAGGAGAAAGATTCGAAGTTCAAGATCAAGGCCAGCCTAGTATACATGAGATCCTATCTCTCTCTCTCTTTTTTAAGTATCAAAAATTAATTTCAGATCATTTAGAAGTAGATATTTAAATTTTTAATGTTTTAAAAGTGAGAGTATTAGGGCCAGGTGATGGTGGCGCACGCCTTTAATCCCAGCACTTGGGAGGCAGAGCCAGGCAGATCTCTGTGAGTTCAAGGCTAGCCTGGTCTATAGAGTGAGTTCTAGGACAGGCACCAAAACTACACAGAGAAACCCTGTCTCAAAACAACAACAACAAAAAAAGTGAGAGTATTACTATTACCAGTGCTTTTTGTTCTGTCTTTTTCCTAGAACTTACTTGATGAGTACTTAGCTTTTTTTTTTTTTTTTGGACAAGATTTTACTATGTAGACAAGCTATCCTCCCAAGTACTGAATCACAGGTGTATGCCCCCCACCCAGTGCAGGCACCTATGCTCTTACTGTGTGTGTGTGGATCTAGAGAAGGTCAGGCTCAGAGACTTGTAACATGCTGGCCAACCCCAGAACTGGTGTCTTCCATGTCTTGGCTCTATTGAAGTGTGGGTGAAGGGTTGGGCAGATCGGCAGTCTGTGGGACCTGCAGGGTAGCTTCTCATGCCCTGTGCCTGTCCATGCTCTCAATTTAAGAACCAGGCTTTCTATTCAATTAGTCGCCAAGTAAATAGCTGCTAATGTCTGATTATTTTGGGAAATTGCTCCTTTAGGACCGTGTCCTATATTTCTTAGACTCAAAGACTTCAGATGGAAAAGTCTTTGAGGAGAAAGAGCTAATATACCAGACCCTTGGCTAATCTAGTCTTTCCTTTTCGGTTCTTTCTGAATCTGAGCAAATAATTAGAACAACTCCTGGTTTTATAAACTTCATTTTTAAAATGGTGTTAATAGGTTGTGCTCTGTATAGGGATTTGAAAGTAATTATAAATTACAAATGAAATGTTCTTCCTTGATTGCACTCCTCTCAAAAATAGACCAGTCTGTTCAGTAGGCTCTTCTTCCACGACCTCCAGGCCCCTTGGGGAGAGTGCGCCATGCTTGCCTGTTCTCTGTTGGGATTTTGGTGACGGGAGTAATGTTGCTGTGTAAGTTGGCAGGTGTTACACACAGGTCTAGTCCATTTATCCAGAGAATTGCCATTTTCTGGAAACTCCTTGGGAGGTTTTTGTTTCTTTGTTTTGAGATAGGATTAGGGTTTTAATATATAGCCCTGCCTAGTCTGGTATTTACTGTGTAGCCTGACCTCATTCATGGTGATCCTTCTCTCTCATTCTCCATAGTGGTGGAATTACAGGCCTGAGCTTACATAGTTTTTTCCCAGTTTACATATGAATCTTACTGCTTTTGTTATTTTTAACTTTTTCCTTAAAGTTTAAGATTTATACAGAAAAGTATGAAAGTCTTAAGTATGTAATTCAGTGAATTATTAAAAATGACCAAGTACTGAAACAATCCTAGTTCTTCAGCAGAGCCTCTGACCTCTGCCTCACTCCCAGCGGTCCCGCATCTGTGAACTTTATATAACCTGAGCCATAAAATGTGCTTATTTGTACCTTCTTTTGCGTACCATTCTGCTCATACATATTGTTATTTGTAGTGATGAGCCCTTCATTTTATGGCTTAAAGAATATAACTGTAGTTTTGTTTACCTCTTCTGGTGTTGATGGATAGTGCTGATGCCATTTGGATAGTTTCCAGTTTTGAGCTTTTATAAATAATACTATTATGAATATTCCTTTATCTTTTAATGAGAATATGTATTTGTATCTCTTTTGGGTATACCTTAGAGGAAGTTGCTGGGTCCGAGTCTATGTGTGTGGTCAGCTTTGGTGCTAGAGTTGGGGTTCCCTGGAAGAGCACTTTAGCATGCACTAGGTCCTGGATTCAGTCTGGCACCCCTCCCCACCCTCAGCTTTTTGTTGTTGTCTGTCTTGTTTGTTTTGTTTTGTTTTGTTGAGATAGCCCAGGCTGTCTTACTCTGTAGCCCAGGCTGGCCCGAAACTCACTGTGAAGCCCATGCTGACCTCAAACCCACAGTGATCCTCTTGTCTCAGCCTCTTAGAGGGCTTGGGATTGAGATATGAACCACCACATCTTATGAAAGTTCACCTTTAATAGATATTGCCCCAAATGTCATCAGGATAGCCTCAGATAGCAGAGCATGACAGTTCCATTTGTTTCATATCTTTGTCACACTTGGTATTATCTGTCAGAATTTAGCCATTCTTGTGGTATGTGGAGCCCTGTGTTTTCACAGGCTCTTTCCATGCAATTTTCTTCAAAATGGTGGAAAGATACATTATTTTCACTTCATTTGTCCTATAGAGGAGACCACACAGTTTGAAGGATAGATGACTGGCCTCAGAAGTAAGCCTGAGCATGGATTTCTCATCTGAAACACCTTTTTTTTCTGTTGTAAGGACTGGGAACAAGTATAAAGCTGCAGCCCAGGGCCTGGCATGAGGTGCATGCTCCAGGTCTGTGCAGTGTTACGGATCTGTCAGCATTTGATAAGCTGCACATTATTAAGGTCAGTTGAAGGATGGATGACTTGGTGACTGTCACTCTTTCCTGGGCACCTTATTGTCCAGAACTGTTGAATTCAGAGTTGTTAGAGAGGAGGCCTCGGCTCATTTTGAGTTGACCTTCTATTTGAAGGAAAATGTTCAGATTTGGATAATTTAATCTAAAGCTGAGCCCGAGGCTTTCAGAGGAAATATTTTTTAAGGCAGAAATGAACTGACATATGGTAGTCCCTGGAACGTTTGTTTTTCCCTGGAGCCTTTCAATAACAGAAGAGCAAAGGCATAGTGTTAATATCTGTGCCTGGCGAGTTTTAATAAAGGAAGCGACACTTTAATAGCATGAAGTTATTTGGAAAATTAATGTCCTTAGGATGTCATTGAAGAAAGAGATACAACTTTTAAAGGAAGGCAGGAATTGAAAGATTGTTAACTTTTCAAGTATTGCCTAGGTAAAAATAATGTGCTTTAATGCAAGTCTCTTGCGGCTATTCGCCCTGTAAGCACCCTTGTGTCCCAGTTCGTACATCTGGTAAGTGTGAGGAAGGACTCCAGTGTCTTGGGGCTCACATGACAAGACGGAGTTAAACAATGTGGAAATTCCTACATGTATCTTAGCCGACATTTAAAACTGTGTTTTGGAGCCAGTGAGAGAGCTCAGTGGGTAAAAGCACTTGCTGTGTAAGCCTGGTGGCCGAATTTGATCCCCAGGACCCAGGTAAAGATACAAGAAGAGATTCAACCTGTCTGTCTATCTATGCATGCATGCATGCATATATGTTCTCTCTCTCTCTCTCTCTCTCTCTCTCTCTCTCTCTCTCTCTCTCTCTCTCTCTCTGTCTCTCTTCTCTCTTCTCTCTCTCTCTCTCTCTCTCTCTCTCTCTGAGAAACGTTTTAAAAAAGCAGTATTTAAAGGTGGATTTAACTCAGGTGGGTTGGATGTGTTGGCCGTGGTCAGTGGCAGGTCCCCAGGTGAGTTGTCTGAAAGTGACTCAGCAGGCAGCAGGCTTGCTGCAGAGGCTGAGCTGAGGCTTCAGTACACACGACACGGCTGCTGCTCTTCACTGCCGTGTGTGGAACTCAGCGAATATTGAGCAGCCGCTAATTTTGATAAGAGACTTAATACCGAATTTCAAGTGTCAGTCATAGTTTTCCTATATTTTAACATCTCTGAAATCACAATGTCTTATTCAGTGGTGGGTTGTAGTTTGACAGCATTTTTTTTCTTTCCAACATATAGTGGCATGTATGACATGTCTTAAATGAATGGTGTCATTGATTTGGTAAAATACAGACTGACAGTTTGAATTTGATCGCCCCACACTAGATGTTCTGAGTTGTGTATTGTGCTCCCTGGCAGATTCCTAAGAGATGGGCCTAGTTCACATGTCAGGATTTGAGTAGGGTTCTGAGCACAGAAAGTGCTCTCCACTCGCTACTCTTTGCAAAGGATGTTTGGAGCTCCCTGTTCACCAGGTCCTTCATTGTACTGCTGTGATGTACACAGAGAGCTCCTCTCCCGGTGCACTGCTCCGTTCCCACCCTATCCAGACGTCACTCCTGTTGGTCCAGTGCATCCTTCTGGTTCCCTGTTAGGGACCTCTGTGTGTGAATAGTACATGTTTATGCTGTGTCGTTTTCTTGTCAACTGCGAACTATATCATTGTGTTTTTGAGGTTCTACAATTTGGCTTTGCCTTATGTTTGCTCACTTTAGAGTTGTTTTGTGTTGTTGCATGTAGGTCTGTGTTAGTTGGTTTTTTTTGTTTTTTTTTTGCGGCTGTCATAGAATTCTTCTGTAGGAATGGCTTAAGTATTCTGCTTGTTTTATACATAAGGTTAACACCAGCAGGTTGCATTTAGAGCTATGCTGTGCTGGTCCTGGTTTTTGTTTGCTTTTGTTGTTGTTTTTTTCCTAACAGTACTGACTTTTATTACCAAATATTGTAAATTAGTTTGGTTCCATGAAGGTAAGACATTCTGTGTAGGAGTTCATTTATCTCTCCTTGTGTGGTATCACTGGATTGTTTTCAGCCTAGACTTATTTTATGTGAGTGTTATTACAGTAATTTCCTTCTCTCCTGCCTAGAGTGAACCCTCCTTGGGAAAGAGTTTTACACCCCTCTGGAGCCACTTTGCACAACCATGGGTGCTAAAAGTTTGCAGCTCCCTTCTGCTATGTCCTTCCCTGTCCTAGCATGTCTGGTTTCTAAAGGCTCTCTACTCTGAGAAGCCCATTCCCACCCAGTCTTTGTGTGTAAGGTGGGGGACAGTGCACTACTGTCTGCCCACGTCCCTCCAGGCTCCTGGTGAGCCCTTCTTCTCTGGCCCTGTTAGTCTGGCTGCCTTGCCTTTCTGGTCTCCGGTTCCCTGCCCCTGTTATCCGCTCCTATATCTCGTTCTGTTCTGTTATACCCAGTGTGGCTTAGTGTGTGGACTACATTTTTTTCCAGTGCAGGGAGACCTGGTTGGAGCTAGGAGGTGTAGGGAACATTCTCCCATGCAGCATCTCAGCATCTATGTGCTTAGGCAGCCCTGCCTGTGGAATTCCAGTTGAGTGTTTGCCAGCCACTTCTCGTCGGGAATCACAGTGCACACACCCTGTTGATGGATAATTGACTTTATATGTGGTAAAGTAGTGGCTTGGCCAAGGGCAACTGAAGGAAAAGCACTTTTGAAAACAAGAGCATTAGGCAAAAGTCATTTAAATGGAAATTCAGAGGCAGCAATCAACTACTCTTTAAATGCTTAATTTTTAAAATTAGGTTTTAGTACTGGAAAATATTTCCTAAGGCTGATAAAGGCTAGCTGAACCCGTGTCCTTGTAGCGGAGCCTTGCTGCTATTTGCCTTTCCTTTCTGTTTCTGCAGACAAGTCCCCCACTTAACAGGTTACAGACATCAGGGTGTGTGTGTGATTTTTATGCCTTAGGTGATTGAGTACTGTTCTTAACCAGTCCTGGGTGTTTCTTTCCCTATAGCCAAGTTACATCAGTGATGTGGGTCCTCCTGGTCGAAGCTCTCTGGATAGCATTGAGATGGCCTATGCCCGGCAGGTGAGTATACATTTTAGGAAGATTTAATCTTGGAGAAAGAATGCTGTGATCCTCAGGGGAGTTGGAGGGAATAGTGACTTCACACGAAAGTCAAACCTGAAAGCTCACGGGATTAGTTAATATTTTACCATGAATGCCCCTGTTCTCCATTTGGTTAAATAGGGTAATCAAATGACTCAGATAATGCAGGGAAATTTAAATCTACTCTCTACTGACCAGGTGTTTCATTTTGCTTTCTTGGCAATAGCTTCCTTGAATAACTATAATGCATGGCAAATGGAGTTCTGTATTAACTGAATTACTTGGCTGGCTAATGGTATGGTCAGATTCTTTTACCCTTGTTGAGTGGGATTTTCAAAACACTTTCTGCCTTGATAAGCACAGTGTGCTGACATTGTGTAGCATTGCAGATGGAGGTGAGGATGCTCCTGGTGTGTTGGGGGCCGTGCTCTTGGATGCTGATCATGAGCTGGCATCAGTAAGCATGGAACAAGATGGTCCATGTGGAGCTCTGTGCAGGACTTACCTGCAGTTGACTCGGAATAAAACAATGCAAGTCAAGCCTGTTTTTCAAAGGATTGTCACTTTCCACCACAAAGTCCCAAGATGTCGTGCCCTGCATCTCTTAGCTGTGACCCTGAGAGGACACACTGATACATTCCCCACTCCCTTCCCTCCTGCCACCCTGGAGTTGGGGCTTGGGGACAGAAACAGATGGCAGCTACACACACGGAGGAGGGACTATTAGACACTGGGCTCTTTAATAGAGGACTCTCCCTCTTCAGCTACCAGTTAATTAATGAGTGGAATTCTACGTTTACTGAATCATGTGTCACCAGAAATCTTATTAACATTAGTTGAGAGAAATATCCTAATGTTTCTTTTGTGTAAATGTAGATTCATTTTAAGTGAGAATAAAAGCAGAGAATATACTCCAAGTCGGGAGCAGATTTGAGGTTAAAGTCTCTCTCTTCTTACATTGCTACTTCAAACTCCAGGCGGCTGAAGTCCCCCTCCGTCCTCCAGAGATGACTTCACCTTCCTTTCAACTCCGTGTTTCACTGCTGGACTTCGTTCCCTTCTCTGGTCTTTAGCTCACTCTCCCTCTTCCTTACACTCATTCCACACCCGTGTCCTTTAAGTTCCCTTGGCTGGTTCCTTGATTGCTGTGGCCACCACCATTTCAGACCCAACAAATGAATGAAGAAACAGTGTAGCTTCTTCATCTGAAAAACTAAACTCTAGAACTTGACTCCCGCAGCACCTAGGATCCCGCAATGCCAGCTGTCTGTCTACACAGTTCTCTCCCACAGAAAGTGAATGTTTATGTGCTATAAAGTTGATTACATCCTTGGTTCCTAGAACATGCTCATTCAGTGACTGCGTAAATCTAAGTACCCGGCAAATCTTTGTGACAGCCCCAGAAGCTGTATGGCATCAGATCCTCTATTTAAAGTAGAAGCTAAGGTTCCATGGGTCCATGATTGGTCATTAATTCAGTCCTCAGTAAAGCAAGGACTTCAAAATGTAAAAGAAAGCCTGTTTGTAACCATTATAGACCAAATCTAAAGTAAAAGGAATTTTCTTATATCTTAATAAACATCACATCAAGCCATAGTTGTGGGGTTTTTGTTGTTGTTGTTGTTGTTGTTGTTCAGTTGGGGTTTTTTGTTTGTTTGTTTTGTTTTGAGAGAGATTTTACCTGAAGAGCAGAGATTCTTTCTTTCTACACTTATTTGTTTGTTAGTTTGTTGTGGGGCTGTGGTCAAAGGACAACCAGAGGGAATCAGCTCTTCTATCATGTAAGTCTCAGGGATTTAACTCAGGTTGTCAGGCAGACACTGAGTGGTCTGTCTGGGCTCCAGAGATGCTTTCTAGAAGTAAATGTTCCAGATGTGTAGCAGATACTGTTCTAACAGACCTACCCAGTCCATGAACTGGCCCAGGAGCATCAGTCCTCTGACCTAGACTTTACAGACTTTGACATGGTTCTTAGGAAGCAGCAGCCAGAGCCAGGCCATGGTTCTGTAGCCCTATTTTCATTTTTGGTTCTAGCGTCTCTCCATGGACTACCTTGGCCCCTTGTTTTACAGTATTTGCAAGGCTGGGGTAGTGATTAGTGTTAATGTGCTAGCCACAGCTGGAGATCTGCCTTATGGATGATTAGGCACTTCGAGGAAGGGAAGGTTGGCATCAGCCTCTGTTGCCATTTGCTGGCTTCAGAATGACTTCAGATCTTAAAAGGAAGTGAAATAGATCATCTGTTTACTTGGTCCCTTTATTTCAGATTTATATCTACAATGAGAAGATTGTGAGTGGACACCTGCAGCCCAACCTAGTGGACCTTTGTTCATCTGTTGCAGAGCTGGACGACAAGGTAGAGCCCAGTGTTCACATGGGATCAGCAGCTTACTGACTTGGCTGCAGTATACGAAGAAAGACTATTTTATGAGATAACGTTCTTTTTCCCACTGTTTTATATACATTTGGAGTGATTGTTTTTATGGTGGCTTTTTAAAATCTGTCTTCAAAAGACGGGGCTGGGATTTGTTAGTGGAAAGAGGTCTTGAGCTCTGTTGGGTTCCTACCCATTTCCTCCTCTCAGGTATCAGCGGCTCTTTAAGAAGAGCCGCATAGTTTGTGCTACCTCCTTGAACTTAACTCATCATTTTCTTTTGGACTCCCTTCTCCCAGTTTTTATTATGCCCACACTCTTTTTTTTTTTTTTTTTTTGGTTTTTTTCCGAGACAGGGTTTCTCTGTGTAGCTTTGCACCTTTCCTGGAACTCACTTGGTAGCCCAGGCTGGCCTCGAACTCACAGAGATCCGCCTGGCTCTGCCTCCCGAGTGCTGGGATTAAAGGCGTGCGCCACCACCGCCCGGCTCTGCCCACACTCTTAATCCCTGGCCAGCTGTCTCCTTTAGGGAGGAGCAGCAGTGATGGTGGGGGATGTGTCAGAAGGTGCTGGGAGAGGCCAAAGGAAGGGAGGGCTGTTCCGGAAGCAGAAGCACCCGTACACTGATTTGTTTCTCAAAAACTGCTTTTTTCCAGAAGTGAAATACAATGCAAACAGATTTAAAGACAAAAGTGAGAATTCACTAATCATATCTGCCTGGTGTTTTAGAGCTTTCACTGAGGCGTACCATGAGAACCAACCTTCTCTACTGTGTTCTATCTTTAGAGGGTTGGAAACACATTTTGAAGGAGAAATTCACAGCCTGGGGAGAGGCGGCCCACTGGGTAGGGCAACACAGAGAAAACCCTTTTTCTGGAGTCACTTTTGAGGGAGTGAGTGGGAGGGAAATGGGAGGTTATGGCATTTACTCATTAAATGGGCTACAGAGGTAGCCCAGAGAGCCCCTGGGAAGACAAAACCTTTATTATTTAGGTTAAACTCTTTATTTTAAGCCTTAAGGAACTTAAATAACCTTGTAAGAACTTGTGTTTAAGCTCCTAGAGCTCTGGGTGATTAGAAGTGCACTCAGGCACTATTAAGGGATGACCCACTGAGATTCAGCTCTTGTTACTTTCATGTTCCTAATGATGGAGGTGGTTCTGTCAGGCCTGGCATGGTACTTGGTTTGAAAGCCAACTCCAAGCAGGGAAGGGGTGCTCATCAGTGGTCAGAGCTCTGGTGGTTGGCGAGGCAGAGGCCCATCTTCCATACTGAGTTTGAACCAGGGGTGTCTCAGACAAAAATCTCAGTCCTCCTCATTCTTCCTCCATTGCAGTCATAGCCACATAACTTCTCCATCCTTACCGCTTTGTCATATGCAATCTCGTTTACATGCAGAGCATTTCTGACATGTGGGCCATGGTAAAACAAATGACAGATGTGGTGTTGGCACCAGCAACTGACGCCCTGAAGAGCCGAAGCAGTGTAGAAGTGCGCATGGAGTTTGTCAGGCAGGCCTTGGGATACCTTGAGCAGAGGTAAGGCAGCTGTAGCGCTCTCTCTCTCTCTCTCTCTCTCTCTCTCTCTCTCTCTCTCTGTGTGTGTGTGTGTGTGTGTGTGTGTGTATGTGTGTCTGTGGTGGGGTTGGCTTTTACTTTCCCTAAAGTCACCTGTTTCTCGAGTCTTAAGTAGTTCTGGGGCTGAGTGTGCTGTAACTGGAGTACTTTAAATTGACTGGAGCTGAGGTAATTCTGTTGTCAGAACACTTACCTACCAGGACTGTGTCTGCAGCTGATAAAATTGTACATAGAAATGGTGGTAAAGGGCAGCTCTGCTTTTCATCATTTAATGTAGAGACATGTTGATTAGATCAGAATGACTTGGCTCATAATCCTGTTTTCCTAATATGGTTCATCACTCACTCCCCAGGTTCCTTTGTTTTCTTACAGCATTCTAACTCACCTTGCAATATGATGACTTTAAACCTTAGGAAGGCCCCTGTAACTTTACCCTCCTGGCCCTACCCAGTGAATCCCTGAGTCAGGGCTCTGCGTAGCTGCTGAGGCCAATGCTTTGTGTCTGGGCATGGCTACTGAGGGGTTGTGGCTTTATCCTTATACCCTATCGTCCGATTCATTATTAGACCTGTGCCATTCATCCATCTTTTTGGAACTCAGTGGAATCCTAGCAGGAATGGTCAGGACTGTGCAGCAGACTCTATTTTAGAGACAGGGCACTGGGCATCAGCCTGCTGGCTTAAGAAGAGCTCTGTCAACAAAACAACACTTGGTTAGGAAGTCCCTTGAGGGGATTTAGACTTGATGCTGTAGGGACTGGTTTCATTTCAAATTCTGTGCTAATTACACCTTAGCTACATGAAATGAGCACCCTCTGATCTGTGTTCACTAGCCACCATTCCTTTGTTACAAGAAATCTGGAACCTGAAAAGCTTTTGCTTTTTGTTTTTTAATTTCTCTAGTCTATGTGTGTGTGAAGGTTTTATAGAGTAATTCTTCAGACTTTGGCTAAACTTCTTTTTCCACTTTAGTTTATATTTTTATCTGTATGCTTGTTTTGCCTGCATGCATGTCTGTGTACCACATAGGTGAGGTCTCCATGGGGCCAGAAGATGATGTTTGATGCCCTGGGACTGGAGTTACAATTGGTTGTGAGCCCCCATGTGGGTCAGGTCCTCTGACAGAGCGGTCAGTGCTCTCCACTGCTAAGCCATCTTTCCAGCCCCGTTGACTGAACTTTTGAGATGGAGGTTTGGTTGTATTGATCATCAACCATAAAGAATCTAATATAGTAACATTTATTCATTTTAGTTGGCAAACTGAGCTAGATTTTCTTATGCCATATAAAAATCTTAAGGAATAAAAAAAAATAAAAATAAATTTTAAAAATGCTTTCCCTGACAAACTTAAACTGTTGTTGCTTCAGCCACCAAGCTGCATTCCTGTTTATGTATCCCATTTTATTATTTATTGCACTTAGTTTGTTTTTTTTAATGTTTTTATTTTTTTAGATATATTTATTTTATGTGTATGAGTATTTTTCTTCCAAGTACATATGTGCACCACATGTGTGCCTGGTGCAGTGAGATCAGAAAAGGACACTAGATCTCCTGGAACTAGAGCTTACAGATGCTTGTAAGCCTCCATGTGGGTGCTGGGAATCGAACCCAGGTTCTCTGTAAGAGCGACAAGTTCTCTTAACTGCTGAGCTATCTCTCCAGCCCCTAGTTTAATGAAAAGAATTTTTTTTTTCTTTTCCCATTCTCTAGCTGGACTTTTAGAGCTCTCTGAAGCCCCTGTCCAGCTAACAAAGCCTGGCTTCATCTTTGGAGCAGCATCATTCTCTGGCAGTACCTTTTGAAAGCTTCCTTTTCACCTGTTTGAATAACTGTACTCCATGTTACAGTATTTCTGCAGATGCTTTTCTGCTGACAATATAGCATAATGTTTCAAGTTACATAATCTACCAGATGGTAAAGGAGACCTAGTTCCAAATATGTTTTTAGATATAAGGCCAAAAATGTTGAGAAAATAGAGGCATGGTCTGTCCCTTCCAGGTTCCAAAGCTTTCGGTAGGATACATTGTCTTGGTTCTCAAGGAGTTTCAGCTTCTTTAATTTAGGATCTTGCCAGCACATAGGTTGTCTTATTGCAAGTTGGAGCAGGAGGTAGTGGGCATCTGTTTTGTCCTGGCTGCTACAGGGAACTCTGTTCTCTCATCTTGTGCTTTTAAACACGTGTAGCGTGTAGTGGTGAGGAGAATGCATTGGTTAATCACCTTATGCTTCTTTTCCGTTATAAAACAATAAATGCTTTTTACAGGGATTTAGGAAAGTGCTGGAAAGAAGACAGGCCCCATCCGTCACACCAGAGGCTCCTGTTGCCTCACTGTGGCTTCCACCCTCTGTTGTCATGAGTATTCAGTTTAGTTTTATTTATAGTTATGTAGTAGTATGTAATTTTACATAGCTCAACTTCTAATTCTTTGACACTATTTTTACTAACTGCATCGGATTCCACAATTTGTTCTCTGAAATTGGCCTGTAGGTTCATACCTGGTTCTTAGGAGGTACGTGGCTGAAATGATGTAGGTTATGTAGCCATGTTTTTTGTTTGGTTGGTTTTTCAAGACAGAGTTTCTCTATGTAGTTTTGGTGCCTGTCCTGGCTCTTGCTCTGTAGACCAGGCTGGCCTGGAACTCACAGAGATCAGCCTGGCTCTGCCTTTGAGTGCTGGGATTAAAAGCGTGTGCACCACTGCCTGGCGGTAGCCATGATTTTTATAACATTTTTAAATGCTTCTGGGAATAAACAAAACCATGTTCTTATGTGCATTTGGGTGTCAGATAGGACATGTAGAGATAGGAAACACATACAAATAACAATACTGATAATCTAGGTAAGGGTGTGGTGCTAGTCACTGGACTATTTTGACTTTTCATGAAATTTATTTCAAATTCTTTAAAATAAAAAAAAATTGTTGTTTTTAAAGCAAATCCATTAGAACATTAGGCTCCACCCTTAAACTATTTGAAACCCTCAGTTGTATTCCCCTAGGAATTCTTTGGGGCATCTGTAGTAAAAATCTGTACAGTGCTAAGAATGGAATTTGCTTCATTAAGCATGTACTGTTTCCTCTTCTGTATGAGATTTAGAATCCAGGCCTTGTCTATAGAGTTCACAATCTAATATTCTGAATGTGGACATAGATGTGTGTAATACGTGTTGTCAACCTTCACCATTTTTTCTTTAAAAATCTTTCCAGTTACAAGAATTACACACTTGTGACTGTCTTTGGAAATTTGCATCAGGCCCAGCTGGGCGGTGTGCCTGGGACTTACCAACTGGTTCGAAGTTTCCTAAACATTAAACTGCCAGCTCCCTCACCAGGACTTCAGGTACTAGTAACCTCTCAGGATCAGACATACTCTGAAGCTGTTGGTTGTTCTCAGGTATTCTCAGTTGAAAGGAGGTTCTGTGTGTCAAGGAGGCCAGGGATGAGCAGGCGGGCTGTTTCACAGGGACCCATTGAAAACTAGTCATGCAGGAGTTCTGCCTGGGGAAAGGCAGGAGAGGGAGGCAGTGTCAGGTCCTAGGTGAGTTTTAAAAGTTGAGCCCTAAGGACTCTTAGGAACTTACATGTGGGTATGAGAGACAGAATGAGGGATCTGTCAAAAGTTAAGAGCAAAACAGCTGAGAGAATGGCATGGATATGGTTTATAGTCCTCTGCTCAGCCTGCCCTGGAGCTGGGGATTATTATCTACAGTGTCTTACAGAGTATACAAGCTTAACTGGAGCTTTGTGCCCAAAATTGGGGGATATAAAAGATGCTGGCTTCATAAAAGGTCGAACTTATTATTAACGAGCAGGAGTTCACTATCCTGGGACCCTGGGAGACTGTCCTAGGAGGAGAGAGCAATGTGGACAAGCATACAGAGGAAGCAAAGTATCTGGAGTAGTAGGCATGTAGTAGGGCTGAGCAAACTTTGGACTAGCTGGTAAAGAAAGGCCTTGAGTACCTAGTTTAAAAAGAGTTGAAGAGGGCAAATGACATCATATAATATCAAGTTTATGAAGCTTCCTGCCACAGAGGAGAGAGCCAAAAGCTCCTGAAAGAGTTGGTGAAACACAGAGAGGACAAGCCCAGGCCTGCTACATGGACAAGTAGTAAGTAGGATGGGTGGTCACAGTTTTAGGAGGGTAGAGACAGTCACCTCGCAGCATCCGATATCCAGACAGTCAGATATTTGAAGGGACAAGGAATGAATGATTGACAGTTCAGTAGCAGTTAATTTTATAAGCTCAAGTGGATGATAATATCTTATTGGTCAGTGGTATCTTTAGCTCTTGTTTTATGAAAGTCGGAGAAGAAGGTGATCCCATTATTACTGGCTATGAGAGAAAGCATGGGGTGTGGTGGGTCAGAAGAGCTCTGTTCACTTCAAAGTAACTCCAGATCCATACTAGATTGCTCTTCCAGGTTTCTCTGGACAAATTAGTTTGTTTGCAAAATACAGGGAGTAGGATGCTGTCAGTGGCTCTTAACTCATGGGGTTATGGTGGGAATTAAGTACCTTAGCTGGTGCCAGCACATCAGAAGGGGTTGATTAGCTTTTGTTTGTTTGACTGGTTTTTGTCTTTTAGGATGGAGAGGTGGAAGGCCATCCCGTCTGGGCGTTAATTTATTACTGCATGCGCTGTGGGGACCTGCTTGCTGCATCACAAGTCGTCAGTCGAGCCCAGCACCAGCTGGGGGAATTTAAAACCTGGTTCCAGGAGTACATGAACAGCAAGGATAGAAGGTACAGGGAGTGGGGTGACTTCCTTTGCTATGCCTTGCCTGCAGGGAGACAAGGGAAGGACCCACTCTGTCACTCCTGGAGGGATGCTGGGGTGGGGTAGAATGTTGATCCATAGCGTTTCTGATCTTCCCATGGAGGTCTTAGGACTGGAGAAAAGCGGATGGACAAAAGGACATGTTGCTAGTAGTTACAAGTCAGATGAAAGTGGTGGTCGAGGCAGACAGGACCTGTGGCCCTGGGAGAAGGAGAGCCTCCACAGTCTTAGATGGCTGCTTTCACTTGGCCTCGGAGGATCTCTGCTGAGGCTGTGTCTCTGTGTGTTTCAGATTGTCTCCAGCTACTGAAAACAAGCTCCGGCTTCACTACCGCAGAGCCCTCAGGAACAACACAGACCCCTATAAGCGTGCTGTGTACTGTATCATTGGCAGATGTGACATCACCGACAATCAGAGCGAAGTAGCAGACAAGACTGAGGACTACTTATGGTTAAAAGTAGGCACAGCTTCATTTGCCTGCTCAGTTTTCCCATACTCTCTTTACCTGCTTAGTGCATCACGTTTGTGTGGTGGTCAGGACAGGGCCAGTGGATTTTGTGTCTGGAAGCCCTGTTTTTTAATGTATAATTTCCAACTAATGTACATGGTTAGCTTTCTTTTTCTTCTTTCCTTCCCTCCCCCCTTCCCCCATTTCCCTTCCCTGTTGTATTGCTAAGGGTAGAATATAGGCCTTGGCATTCTCTACCATGGAGCTACAACCCAGCCCCAAGAACCACAGTGTCCCATGCAATCTCCAGCTCACAGCTGGAGCATGGCTGCTGGACAGCACAGCTGGACACATGGCTGAGGATGTAGTTTGTACCGATGTGTGTGTTTCCTTTGGGGATTTAGTTGAACCAGGTGTGTTTTGATGATGACGGCACCAGCTCGCCACAAGACAGGCTCACTCTCTCACAGTTCCAGAAACAGCTGCTAGAAGACTATGGTAAGAACTGCACAGTCAGTCACCTTCTCTCCTTGTGGGACACATGGCTAACCTGTGGGGAAGCCCTTCACACATGAGCTCCCTAGTGGACTTTAGCTGTTTTCAATCAGGTAGAGACTGTTATGCATTAAGAGTATGTATCACTTGGATACAATATTTGGGAGACTGAGGCAGAAAGATCATGAGTTCAAGGCCAGCCTAGGCTTCAGAGTGAGTTCAAGGCCAGCCTGGGCAACTTGTGAGATTTTTGTCTCAGAATAAGAATGAAAGGGTCTGGGGCTGTAGCTCAGTAGTGAAGTACCTGCCTGACATTCCAGAGGTCTTCAGATCCATTGATCTCTAGCACCACCGAAAGAAAAAAATGAAGAAAAGAAATCTGGCTTCCATGGTGTAGACGATAGACTTTTCTCCAGCTCTTGCTGGGGAGGGATGTGAGTGAGGCCTCAGCTGTCACTCCTAAGGATCTTGGCAGTGGTCACATCTCCCACACAAGGGGGAGAACTAGCTTGTCCTTTGACCTCCTCGTTAGTGAGCAGCTCTGGAAGGTCACGAACGGATCAGCAACTACAGCCAATGCTGCTGCTGCTTTCAGAGTCGTGTGAGCCCGAGCTCACGTCCCTGTCTGTCCGTCCATACTGAAGACAGACTGTCACCATTTCTCTCCTCCCTAATGCAAACAGCTTAGATTTTATAGCAGGACTGCTTGCTGATCATGTAGTGAGGCCTAGAGATTCTTGTTTTTTAACTTTTTTATTTTATTTTACTTTTTTTGGTTTTTCGAGACAGGGTTTCTTTGTATGGCTCTCCCGGACTGTAGACTCACTCTGTAGACCAGGATGGCCTCGAACTCATAGAGATTCACCTGCCTCTGCCTCCTAAGTGCTGAGATTAAAGGCGTGCACCACCACTGCCCGTGTGAGGCCTAGAGAAAGTAGAGGAATTGGGTCTGTTTGTTTGTTTGTTTGTTTGCTTTGTAAGTCAAGGTCTCTCTCTGGCTGTCCTGGAACTCACTTTGTAGTCCAAACTGGTCTTGAACTCACAGAGACCTCTGCCTTTCTGCTGCTATGACTGAAAGTGTTAGGGGCATGCATACACTCCCTTGCCTGGCTCCAGGTCATGGTTCATGGAGTTTACTGCGTCCAGGGTCGCATTAGCTGCTTTATGTTGGTGATTTCTTCTCACCCAGTAAGGCCAGTAGATCCCCAGGGTCAGACACGGGTGGCAGCTTCCCTCTGAGTGGGTTCATGTCCTCTCCTGCAGGCGAGTCCCACTTCACGGTGAACCAGCAGCCCTTCCTCTACTTCCAAGTGCTGTTCCTGACTGCACAGTTTGAGGCCGCCATTGCCTTTCTCTTCCGCATGGAGCGGCTGCGCTGTCATGCTGTCCATGTGGCCCTGGTCCTGTTTGAGCTAAAGCTGCTTTTAAAATCCTCGGGTCAGAGTGCTCAGCTCCGTGAGTATTTAGGCCTTAGCTGGCAGTGATGTGACACGTTGGTCCTGGTGGCTGTGGAATGGCAGCCACTGGGGATTTGGTCACCTTAGAGCATTGTATACTTGAGCTTGTATGTTAGTGTTAGAGTACTTGTTTATAACCCTCGGCAGTTCCGGGAGTGTTGAAGAGCCATGCCAGGCACCAAGAGTCACGAATGTCATTCCCACTAGGGATTTGGCTTTAAAGATTTTGGAAACCCGAGCTAGCCACCTCTCTACCTGCCTACCCGTAGAAGAGGTAGATGGAGAGCCATGCAAATGTGAGTGAGTGGGTCCTTAATGGGTCAGTACATGAGCCATGATGGTCAAGTACATAGTCATTTCCTGGAAAGGCCATCATGCTGGTCATTCACCATATGAGATATTTTCCTCTAATGTCTGTAGAGAGGAAAGTGAAGGACAGTGGCGAGATTACAATGGGAAATATAGAGTGCGTGGGCTGCAAAAACACATACTTCTAGCCTGTACATTTAATCCCATGGGTTGCGAGGGTCAGAGGAGCTCTGAGAATGTAAGCCCTTCTGTTCCCATGTGCAGTCAGCCATGAGCCTGGTGACCCTCCCTGCATGCGACGGCTGAACTTCGTGCGTCTGCTCATGCTCTACACCCGCAAGTTTGAGTCCACGGATCCGAGGGAAGCACTCCAGTACTTTTACTTCCTCAGGTGAAACTTCCTTTTGCCTTTTCACTTGGCTACCTTTTATCTCTCCATTCAGAGAATGCCTCTTAGAGACTCATTGAGTCCATACCTCAAACCACCCAAGCTGTTCCTGTGCTTTTGTAGGGACGAGAAAGACAGTCAAGGAGAGAACATGTTTCTGCGCTGTGTGAGCGAGCTTGTGATAGAAAGTCGAGAGGTAGGTTAGCGTCCTTCTCGCTCTGGCGGAAGTTTTCAGTGTGTTCTCATGTGACATTCTGTGTGAGCAGGGTGTCCATGGCCTAGAGGTGGAGGTAGGGTGGAGCTTGTTTTGCTTTCTAACAGTGAAAATAGTGATCTCAGTACCACTGTTTCCTAGCTTGTGTAAGACTTCTCCTGTGCCCCTTTCCTCCCATCTGTTTCCCTAAGGAATTGTGTGTTATCTTTATTTCCTTGACCAGTAAACTAAATAACCCTTTTCCTCCACAGTTTGATATGATCCTTGGGAAACTAGAGAATGACGGAAGTAGAAAGGTAGGTTAAATGTATCCCTGACTGTCAGAAGAGTGTAGTTATACTGTACGATTCACATCTGGACACAGAAACTTTATTTAACACAAGAAAGAGGAACTTACAGGCCCAACTGATGGCCTTGGTTTTACACACATTTTTCTTTTCTTTAAAGTTATAAATTTGTGATTAGATAGGTTTTTCATATGTTCAAAGCATGCCTGCCATTTTTTAAAGCTTTGTCTAAATTTTTGCCATTTTTGACTCAGAAAACACGAAGAAAAGTAAGTTGATTGCTGTACCTACTCTCTCCAGATAGGAAAGTTAGAAATGCAGGCCACCTCTTTCAAGAGGCCAGCCCTGAAAAGGCCATCTCCCTGGAGCCTAAGCGGTTCCCCTGGGACTTGCCCTGCCATGGGTCACTGTAACAGGAGGGCAGAAGCCATTGTCAGAACCCAGTCCTGACCCTGGCATTCCCCGTGTGCCCCACAGGTACTCACTTTTCTTTGTAAAACTGCATGGTTTGGCCTCGCAGCCCAGACGAGGGCCTTGATGGTACTGATGATGGTAGCCATCTTCCTGGGCTTTGTGCCGAGTGCTTTGTGTGCGGTTTCTCCTTCAGTTATGACAGTTACCATCAAAGTGAGAACCGTTATCTCTGGTTTCCAAGTGAAAAAGCAGAAATAAGACAGGCTAATTATTTTCTTCAATACCACACAGGTGGATTCTGAGCATATATATTTCATTGGTTCAGGGGCAGATCACCCCAACTTGGTCCAGCCCTGATAGAGCATTAGAATAGATAGACACAAGTATCACACAGTCCATATCCCATCCCCTGTGGGTCCTAGGGCCTCAGACTCTCCTGATCACGTGCCTGCTGTAGAATGGTGACAGAGACTTCTTTTCAAAGTACTCACCACCACTTCCTGTGTAACTTGTTCAGCATCTGTCTTAGAAAGCAAATCGAAAGTCTTCAAAATATTTTCTTATAACTTCCTGATTGCCAGCAAATTCAGAATCACTAATAGTTTTACCTACTCTCAGTCCTTTGAGAAAATCTCTCAGAAACCACAAATGTGCCACAGCCGACTCCACAGTGCTTCCATTAAATGTGCCCATCTTTCTTTCCATGGTTTTGGTGTGGGGTTTATGTCGTCAAGAGCGCCCGAGTTGAATAGGGCAAGCATTTATTTCAGTTCAAGTGCTTCTGTGTCGCAGTTGCTGCTGGGTGTTGAGTCTCTTCCTCCCCTTGATAACTTGTCTTGTCAGCCTGGAGTCATTGATAAGTTTACCAGCGACACAAAGCCTATTATCAACAAAGTTGCTTCTGTGGCAGAAAGTAAAGGACTGTTTGAAGAAGCAGCCAAGCTTTATGACCTTGCCAAGGTAAGTGCTCTTCTCATGCCTCTTCCCTTCTCCGTGCTCGATAGCGCTGCGGCCCTTTAGCATAGATGCTCAAACTTTTCAACGTTGTCTTTGTTTATCACCGTCCCTGCTGGAGCACTTTCTCAGTCAGGATGGAATTCCCATTTTACAGAATTCTTACTGCCCAAAAGGTCTCTCTGACCAAAGAGAACAACGGAATGAAAGGCTCTCCTACTGTCACAGCTACTGTGGTTTCCTGTGGTAGCCTTCTACATTAGCCAATAGCGTGTAGTCCAAGAGCCTGGTTAAATGCATCTACCTGAGAGTATGTGGTGACTGCTGATGATTTAAGTGACCTAAAAAGGAAGGTTTCCTGGGGCTGGAGAGATGGCTCCCTGATTAAAAGCACTGGTTGCTCTTCTTGAGAGTCCAGCTTGGTTCCTAGAATCCACATGGTGGTTCACAACCATCCGTAACTCCAGTTGCTGAGGATTTGATGCCCTTTCTGGCCTCTGCAGGCACCAGGCTTGTACATGGTGCACATACATACATACAGGCAAAATACACACACACACACACACACACACATAAAAATAAATAAATCTTTTTTAAGTAAAGAAAGGCTTCCTAAATTTAAAAATGTTATGATTGAGGTATAATTAGGACATAGGAAAAGGTGCAGGTGGTAAGCATTCACTGGATGGACTGTCCTTGGCTGTGTCCAGTCTCAGGATGTAGAGCAGCTGTTCATCACCTCAGAAAGTTGCTGTTTTAATTTTGCTTATTTAGTTTGTTCTTTTGTTGATTGTTTCCTTAATCTTAAAAATGTAAACAGAATGCTGACAAGGTGCTGGAGCTGATGAACAAGCTGCTGAGCCCTGTGGTCCCACAGATCAGTGTCCCACAGTCCAACAAGGAAAGACTGAAGAACATGGCCCTCTCCATTGCCGAGCGGTAAGGCCAGGGCCAGCTCAGTGGGGCCTGATCACAGGTCACTGCTGTCCTACTGTGTGTTCAGCTTCCCAGAGGTGATTCTGATTCACCTTTTTCCAGAACATCCTGTCATGATGTTAGAGGATTCTCAGGGGTTTGTGGACACTCTTCTAGAACCCACCTTCCTCCCCAGGAAAGTCACTGGCTTCTCAGACTAGAACCAGCTAACTCCAGAGGAGACTGGGTTTGTGATACTTTCCTGCAGCAACACACAAAGCCCTTTGGCAAGTGAGGCCTCCCCACTTAGTAATCCCTAGCATTGGCCTTCAGGGTTTTAACACACGGAATCCTCTTCTCCTTCCTAAAGACTTGGCTGCAGAGTTGATGCTGGACACTAGAGAAGCACTTCACTCAGAGTGTGTGTAGGTAGAGTATGGCCACATCTACACTAGTCAGCCCTTTACAGCGTCAGAAGTGAACACTGTTCTTTCTCCCTAGTGCCCATCATCCAGAGAACTCGGGAGGTTGATGCATTTGAAATGCTGTCCCGAGAGTAGGATTCTGCGAAATCCACACGGCACCATTGCTTCCCTCAGTGGCCCTCTCTTTTGTCTTTCAGGTACAGGGCTCAGGGAATAAGTGCAAATAAGTTTGTGGACTCTACATTCTATCTCCTCTTGGACTTGATAACCTTTTTTGACGAGTATCACAGTGGCCACATTGACAGAGCCTTTGATGTAAGTTTCTGCAGGGTGTTTGAAGTGCAGGCTATTATCAACCTGCCTGTTAAGTGAAGATCCTGGGAATTTAAAGATTTTTCTGTCCTCGCTCCCCCACAAGCTCTTCTTTTTTCCCCTCCTCTTTAATCTAGAAACAGGCTTCTGAAAGAAGTCGAGGTCTCTGAATTTTAGAATTGGGTCTGGAAATGACAACAAAAATCAAGTTAGTAAGTTAGGGTCAAAGCTTTTATGTACATGAGAGTGCATTTTCTGCTTAAAAGCCGATTTTGCACAAGCTGACTATTACCTTTAGGGGGATGATGTGACGATGATGCTGTGTCATATGGGGCTGGTGATGTTTTTTTTAAACAGATCATTGACCGCTTGAAGCTGGTACCTCTAAACCAGGAAAGTGTGGAAGAAAGGGTGGCTGCCTTCAGAAACTTCAGTGACGAAGTGAGTCTTTCTCTGCTCATTACAGAATTCGGTTTCCTCCCCTTCCAAAACTGAAAGCTTAATTTTTTAATTGTATGTATGTACGTGTAATGTGTGTTTTATATGTTCCCATGTGTATGGGCACATGTGTGGGTGTGGGGGGGGGGGGCCCACAGATGATGATGGGTGTCTCTCTCAGTTGCTCTCCACTTTACATACTGAGGCAGACCTTGGGGAAGTGGGGTATAAGTCATGGCATGTACATCATGCACCCTGTGGAAATGCTTAAGTATTAAAATATCATCTTGCATATGTAGACAATGAGAGAATTCAACCAGACTCACAGGTCAACCAGAACCTTGTTTCTCCAAGAACACATGGTATGAACTCACAGAACACCAGGAGAGCTGAAATTGTACTTGTCCTAGGAAAATCTAATCTAGACGGCTACCATAGCTAGAACTCTCAGAGTACTGGGTACATTAAACAGAGAGCTGGAGCTGGGGAGGTGGCTCAGTGGACAAGTGTTTGACATGCAAGTCTGAGGACCTGAGTTCGGATGGCCGGTACCTACCTAACAGTGGAGTATGTAAAAGTTGGCATGGCAGCATGTGTCTGTAGTGCCAGCACTGGAGGTGGGAGTGAGGTTGCTAACCAAAAGCCTGGGCTCCAGGTTCCGTGAGAGACACTTCCTCCAAAAATAAGGTAAAGAGCCACAGAGAAAGACACCTAATGTTAACCTCTGGTTTCAACACATGCACACATGGACGTGCGTACCCACACACATGTAAATACAAATAATTTTTTCTAAGGAAGCAAGTGCAGTGACCATGAGCTGTTATCACCCCAGAAGCCCCAGGGTCACTGTCACCACCTAGCTCAAGTGCTCTGTTGGGCTACACAGGAACCACTGAGAGAGCTGTAAAACTCTTGGCATCCAGCCCATGCACCACAAGACTCTGTTTACCCTGGTGGGGCTATAACATGGTCCTCCCCTGGTCATTCCATGTACACTCAGGAATGTAAGAATTCTCTTTAGAGCACAGACACTGTACTCTGGACACAGCTGTCAGGACTGGCTTCTCCACGTGAGGAAGGTGTGGCTGTTGGGACCATGGCATGTAAGCTCAGCAGTCATCCTCTGTCATCTTTCACTTCACACTAAGGGAGGACGCTGCTATTAGCTGTCCTTCCTGTGGTGCTTCTTACCCGCCCTAGAAACAAGGTTCAATGCACCATGGGCTAAAGTAAGCACTGAACTCTGTCCCTGTGGACGACTTCCCAAGGACGGGCTGCTGGAGACAGGCGGGCAGACCCGAAGCAATGGGGAGTTGTGAAGCTGGGGAACTATATGCATCCCTTTACCCTCTCACACTAGGTGCTCACATTTTTGGTCTTGTTATGTTGGCCAGCAGAGCCTCCATGCTTGCAGATGGTGCCTGTGCTTTGGGCATACTGTCCCACCAAAAGTATCCTAAGGGAGCAGAGCCAGTGGCCAGTGAATGGCAACTCCAAGACGTGATGCCACTCTTGACATCACAGGGCCACTAGCTCCCTTCCGGTGACTGTAGTTCTCCATTGGCAGCTGTTGGATGTCACATGACAGGCAGAGGCTGTGTCCCCTTCACTTGCTGCTCCCTCTGGGGACTGGGTCCCTTTCCCTTATTCCAGGTGTTTTTCTCTCTGTAGATCAGGCACAACCTCTCAGAAGTACTTCTCGCCACCATGAACATCCTGTTCACACAGTTTAAGAGGCTCAAGGGAACAAGTCCATCTTCAGCATCCAGGCCTCAGCGAGTCATCGAAGACCGTGACTCTGTAAGATCCCAGTACTCCTGAGAAACATTGCTGAGAATCACCTTGCTGGTTTGCAATCCTTTGCCCGGCCCTCTAAGACCACATGATCCCAACCACACGCTTCCCTTGGAACCTAGGGCTAGTATAAATCTTATACAGGAAGCTCCTGGGAGAACTCAAATGGTGGGATTACTGCTGTTCTCAAACTAGGGGTAGGGATGGGGTGGAAATCAAAGAAAATGCTAATTTGTGATTGGTTCCTTATGGTGTGTTGGGGTAAGGCGGCTCTCTGGCAGGGCAAACAGCCTTTGCTCAGTCGAGAATTCTGATACTCTGGAATTGGGGGACAGTGGAAGCTAAGACGTTCCTGACCCCGAGTGTACAGCACACAGGAGCCTGTGATGGTTCTCAGTCCAGAGCTCTGATTGACAGTTAACCAGTTTTCTTGTCTTGATCTCCTTTTCTCTCAGCAACTCCGAAGTCAAGCCAGAGCTCTGATTACCTTTGCTGGAATGATACCCTACCGGACATCTGGGGACACTAATGCCAGGCTGGTGCAGATGGAGGTCCTCATGAATTAAGGGCTGTATTTGATGGGGTCTGGGGCTGCACACTATCAGTATATTAGTCACATGGGCCAGCTGGGGTGGGCTTACCAGTTTTTTTTCTGTTGTGTTGTGTTTTGTTTTTTGTATTATGTATTTTTGTCAGTACCAATAAATTTCTTTGATTTGTATTTCTTTTAAACATTTTTTTCTTTTCTTTTTTTCCTTTAAAATTTTGGGTTTTCTTGTTTTGTTTTGGTGTGTGTGTGTGTGTGTGTGTGTGTGTGTGTGTGTGTGTGTGTGTGTGTTTATTCGGGAAATGTTGTCAATAGTTTTGGGGCCAGAGAAGGAGAGGCAACATAGGTTTCTGTAATTTGGCTAATACGACTTTAAATGATTAAAAAATTATCCATTATGAGCAAGGAATCCAAGCCTTTGGAGTCCCATTCACTCAGACACTATGGCCCATATAAGCATTCACAGTGCATTTTCACAAGTCTAGTTGCATGGGAAGCCAGCCTCAGCCTTGGGCCATGGAAGGTCTGTGTGTGGAATACCAAGTGCTGCTGTCCTCTTGCGTAGCCTTTGAGGTCATGTAGCCCCAAACCACTCCTCTTCCTCAGCCATGATTCCAGCTGATGGCCTCCTATTCCACACTTCCCGATGGGGTCAAAGCATGGGCTTGGGACTGCTGGAACTGAAAAGGTGTAAGTGCCCAGCTCAAGGCGGAGATGGGGTGAGCCCTCCACTCCTCCTCTGCTCTGTTAAGAGCTGATGGATGAAGTCACTCCCCTCTCAAAGAACCTTTTGAAGCTTCTCTGCTTTGGCAGTCAGTTCTACTTGGATGATCCCCTTCACTGATGAAGGCAAGCTCATGGGCTCATTCTGCATGTCTGACAATAGAAACCTCTGGCATCTGCGTTCTGGGTATTTGGTCCCCAGGCAGTGGTTGTCATTTGTTACTGACTGCTTCTCTCACCACACCCATAGCCCTGGACTGAACTAGAAAGATCAACATGAGCACTTGCTCCTGAGTGAGCCAGCTGGGCAAGGTCTGCTCTTCAGGCTATTGGAACACTCTTGAGGAACACTTTGCCACGGGCTCGCCAAAAAGGTTTTTGCTCCTCGGGGAAAAAAATCTCTTACACAGGATAGTCACTCCTACGTCTTTCCCTTTGGGAAAGAGCTGATGGATCTGTAATGGACACGGATTTCACAATCCATAAAGGGTATAATGTGAGGCCCTCCAGGTTGTAGTCTTCCTTCCCTGGTCTCATCCTGTAGGTGGGACCCAAAACTGACCTTCCCTTTAAAGTCTGGGAAGGCAAGCCTGTAGGAGGCTAGGCTAAGCACGGTGTGTCTTGCTCATGGGCCCCGAGAACTGACGTGTTTTTTCACAGTGCAGGGTGAGAGCACTCCAGATTTGATAGTGCACAACTGTCTTCATTTCTGGAATTGACTCCTTTTCCATAGTTCGAGAAAACGGGTTGGCTGTGGCCTCTGCTGCTTGTCTCTTCCTCACCCCAGCAGAGTTCACTGTGAGTTTGTCCTTGTCTTATGCAGTTCTGTGTGCATCTAGGGAACTGCACACATGCCCTGCAGAAACCAGAAGAGACCTAAAGGCAACAGGCAAGAAAAGCAGCAGCTCGGGACGAACGTGGTGTAGTTAGTGGCCGGCAGGTTAGGAGTTGGTGTGGGGAGGCCTTTGGGAAAGAATGCCATCACTGTCAAGTCCCCCACAAGCCAATTCCAGTACTTGTTCTATAGACTGGTTCTGTGACTGCATGTGAGTCACAGAAAGTGTGGAGCTAAGAACAACCTGAGTTTGCAAGGCATGGCATCAACAGGTTCCCATGTGCCCAGCTGGTGCCAGAAGTCAGACATGTCTAATGACTTCATGACTGTGTGACAGATTATAAGCCTAAGCCATCCTTCCACTCATTTGTTCAGAGAAGTAAATCCTTCCTGGTGATTGTCTGTGACGTCGTTGTTTACCCAGAGAAACGAGAAGACAGTGGCTCTGGAGGCTCTTGAACAAACGCAGGGCACTTTGAGACGGCCAGGGTAAGAGGCTGTCTCAGTATCTCATAGTTGACTCCTGGGGAACCTCACAGGGAGGTGCTGACTGCTCAGCACCTTTTCGGAGCCTGGGGATTTGATTTCACCTCCTCTTTTCCTTTGTTTTTTCCTCCTCCCTCTCCTCCTGAGTAAAGTTAGGTAACTCAGGGGAACAATGAAGTGGATTTGGGAGTCCCTCTTTGAGCACATCTTCTGGTGTTGTGGCTTCTGAGCTGGGGGTGGATGGGGGGTCCATTGGAGGGCTGGAAGTGTCAATTAATGCTGGAGGCAGAAGGCAGACCCCCTCCTGCCCCATGTAAACTCAGACCAGAGCCCGAAGGAGCTTGTGGTTGCTGCAGTGATGCTTTAGTCCTGTCATTTTAAGTCCTAGGGTTTAGGATATTTTAAGTGAAGAATTAGGGTCCTCCCACAGTGCCCAACACTGGCTGGTTTAAATAACAAAGCTGGGGCTGTTCTTGCTTTGGGTTTCAGCATTGCCTATTGTCATTGAGTAAATGCCCCTGGCTCAAACTCTCAAGGCTGATTTAGCTGGATGTGCCAGCTTCTGCTGCCCTAGGCTAGATCTCCACACCCATGTTTCTCCTTGGGCGTCAGAGCCTTTGTATCTAGTTCATTGGGTATTTCATGTCACTCGCCAGATTCCCATGAGTCCATTCATTCTATCATGCCATTCATGCCTGGAGCTTGCTGAACACTGTGCTGGAAATAGCCTCCAGACTGGCATGTTGCCCAAAGCTGCTGAAGTGCTGCTGACTGACTGGCTACTGGGTGGACTGAGTACCTCCTCTGGTAGGGCAGTGGTCTTCCTAAGACTGAGTACTGTTGCACAGCTCGGGGTGGTGTGGGCAGAGACCTAGCACTGCTCTGCCATACTCTGTTCCTGGCTGCCTTTTCCTTAGCATGTGTTTCTCTGGGGCGGCAGGTAAAAACATTTGCTTCCAACATTCATGGACTTGTTGCAGTCGGAAAGGGGTTGTCACCGCTCTAGAAGGGGCACCTGGCCTCAATGTGAGAGTACTGTCGCCCTCCGCTGGCCCCAGAAGACCTGGCATAACCAGGCTTTTAGTGGCAAAAGGTTAGAGGACCCCCGACATTGGGAACAGATTTAGCAAATGAACACTGAGTCACTTCTGGGTAGAAGACAGACAGCGAGCCGGTCAGTTGGGGTGTCTGCTTTGCCTCTGCTGGCGCTGACGACAACCGGAGACGAGCGCCTGGCGCAGGCTGACGGAGCGCTGCAGCTCCTTGGATGACTTTCCAGATGAGAAGGCAGTCACTGGAGTGCAGGCTGACTGACTGGGATAACTGGGGCCCAGCTGACCTCAGCTCCCGTCACCTCCCAGGTGCTTTCCATCGGGGCCTTCAAGTGCTGTGGGTGCTAGAAGCAGGAAGAGGCAAAACACAGTTCATTCTCACCTGATGAGTGCGTGTGTTGGGAATGTGGTGGGCAGATTCTCTGCTGTAGCTGGTGGCGTGGTGTTTTCCTTTCTTCCATCTTGGCTTCTCTGACGTCACTCCTGTGTTTGTGGGGAGAGGGATGGTGGGAGAGTCGGTGTCTTTCGTGTGTTCCTTTCCATGCAGTAACTTCTGTGTTTGCTCTGTTCAGGCCGCCTCCTCCTCCTCCTCCTCCACCCCTGTGTCTGTCCAGTAAATGCTCTCCCCGTGTGCCATGTGCTCCCTTTGTTCAGTTCTTCACTGGAATGGGAACTCTAGCTGGTAACAGAAGTGCCTCTCCTCGCCTCGGGGTAAGGGAGCTCCCTCCGTACTCCTTGTATGGAAGGCTCCCAAAGCCTACCTGCTCCCTAGTCTCTGGGTCTCTTCAAGTCACAGCAACCTCCTTCTGTAAGTATAGGACTTCTGTCTGGCTTGGAAGCTCTGGAAGTCACTAACGGCCGCAGGCCCAGCCCCTGGCATCTGGGAAAGATCAGAGTCAGGCTGAGGGGTGGTAGACAGTAAATAGCATTTTGGTACAAAGCCAGCAGGTGGCATTCTGGGTCTGGGGCCCTTTATCTGGGACCCTCGGTGGGAGCATTGGGGAGGCAATAGCGAGAGCTGGCTTTATCTCAGTTGATGGCAGGAAAGGCTGGGCCTGACCAGGGGACAGACGTTCTTAACAAGACCTGCTAATGTTTCTAACCAAGAAGGATGCTATCAAGACCAAGATGTGGGCTCTGGTATTCTGCCTGGGGATGTGCACATGGCCAGCACTGCAGGGTGGGACCCTAATGAGATGCCCTGAGCTCAGCCTGAGGCCTCCCCAAAAGTTTCAACCTCTGCTTTGCTGGGGCTCTTGGAGGCAGTCTGTTGACCTCAGAGTCTTACCCTGTACCAGTGCCCTCATACCCCTTATAAGGTTCCACGATGTCCTCTGGACTCAGAGCCTCTCCTGGACCAGGCTGGCAAGGCTGTGGCCTTTGAAGGGACACTGGTGAGGTGGGTGGAGTCGACAGCTGCTACTGGAGCTGCCTCTTGAAGTGTCCTCCTTTTTCATGGAGAAGTTCCGAGTCTGCTCCCTGTGGTTCCAGCTACTTGGAAAGCAGACACACGGGGATTTCTTAAGCTCAGTTCAAGGCCAACTAATTAAGACCCTGTCTTTGTTTTTTTAAGAAAAGGAGGGGGGTCATTGGTGAGCTGCTGTGAATGTCACCTCAGCTGTTCCTGGAAATGGCCAGCTTTCAGCAATAGTAAGCAAATGGATTGGTGCTGGAAAGAGAGGCCCAGGGCCTGGGAAGCTTCGTAGCTGCAGGGTTGAAAACTGGCCCCACTGCTCCGGAGATTGTCTGGAAGTTCCTTCTCAGTTGTCCCACAGGTCTCTCTAGTCGTGCCAGCCTGGAGGCATCCTCCTCACGGCCTCTGCCCCTCCCACACTTGGAATGGAGCCCTCTGTGAGCTCTCACTCGGGACTTTAGAAACCAAAAGTTTTCTAAGAGTGGCAGTGTGGTGTGGCCCTCTGGTGGCGGCTGCAGCCATTCACATTTGAAAGCATAAACTGCCCATGAGGGATGGGAGACTTCTTGCTGGAGTTGGGTGAAGCGCTCTGGAGAGCAGATCCCTGGACACGGAGCATGTGCTGGGAGGAGACATCCTGCGGCACCAGAGCTGCAGCATGGGAGAGCGCAGAGCTCTCCGAAGGGCTGGGAGCTGGATGAAGTTCCTCTCTACTTGGGAGTCACTCTGAGACAGCTGCTCCCCGAAGAGCAGAGGTACCAGCTCCCTCATCCTCGGGTACTGGGAAGAGTCACTTGACCCAAGTGACTCATCTACCTGGAACTGTCACTCAGGAGGCCCTCAGCCGGTAAAAGTCAGCTTGGGTCCCTCTTCTTCCTGCTCAGTGTAGGTGGCTCGCAAAGGTGATAGGAGCTTCCCTCTGCGTTTGCCTTACGCCATTCACAACAGTTTCACGTGGGTGCAGGCAAAGTAAGCCCATGTCAGGGTTGCCTTGTCTTCTGTTTCTTCTTTTATGTCAAGACACAAAATTAGGTCAAAGCTGGTAGGTCAACATTTTGCTCTTGGAGGACAGTTACTGATATGTCAAGGTCAGCTGGTGGTTCCTGTTGTTTTCAGTGACTGCTAATTGGAGAATGTAATTCAGCAAATGTTTGAGGGCCTGCCCAAGGTCAGACAGTTGACTTAGCTGCACTGTATCCCCGGTTTCCTAGGACATGGTCCTAGGATGCAGTCACTGCCCTCCTGGGGGCTACCAACAGTGGGAGGTCGTCTCCCTCAAGTGAGTCTCTCCTGGTTGGTTTCAAGCCTTCACTCTCTTTGAGCACTCACTAGGAGTTCGGAGGCTCCATATCCTGGGCCAGTTTGTAAGAACAACCCTGGTTTCTGGCGAACTGAATGTATATACACAGACACTAATAACATAGGCCAAGAAAGGCCACAAGAAAGATATACAAAGGGATGGGGATTGGCATGGTAGTGCATCCCTATAATCTCAGCTACTTGGTTAAGGCAGGAGGATTGCAGGCTGAAGGCCATCCTGGACAACTAAGTCATGAAACCCTGTCTCAAAACATAAAAGGATTGGGTTGGATATCACAGTGATAAGTCCCTGCCTGCCACCTACAAGGTCATAGGTTCAATCCCAGCATTGCACTCCAAAAAAGGGGGAAATGGAAGGCAAGGTTCCCAGAGGCTGGGGAGGGAGGACCTCTCTGTATATGACATGGATTCAGCCCTACAGAGGCAAACAGGATGAGTGGGACCATCTCGGCAGCTTAGGCACTAAGCACCAGGTCTCTCCGGGCCTGCTCCCACCTCTCATGATCCGGTGGTGCGGTCCATGTGGTAACGTTTCCTGCGACTTGAAGCAGCAGAAACCGAGGGGCTCAGGTGAGTTGAGAACCTGCCAGAGGTCACAGGGTTCCCGCCTTGTTCAAGAGGTATGTGGGGACTGGGAGGTACCAGGGAGGGTGGCCCATGAGGCAGAGAGAGAAGTTGGGCTGTGTGATTTGAGGCCACACAACTGCTGAGGCAGAAGGTCTAGCACAAAGGCCAGTGGCCAGCAGGTGTCTTCAATGCTTAACCAGAGGAAAAGAGATCTTCAAAGCCACCTACAGCGTGAGGGATATTCACAGACTTCTAAATCGGCCTTCCTTTAGCCCAAAGAGCCAGATTCTGGGCTGTAGCCACACCTTTCAGCTCCTGCCCAGCAGCTGCCAGCCCTGGTGACTTCCTGGCTCTGTAGAGCTAAACTGCCCATCTCAGGGCCTTGATGCAGTCTGGCTCCAGTGGCCTGGGGAGGGGCTAGACACTGGCTGCTGGTTTTCAGAAGCTCCTGAGATAATTTTCCTCCCCTAGCAGGGTCAGGAAGCACCATTCTGACTGATGATAGGGCACGGGAAAGTAGGCCGGCCACACAGCCCCTTCCGCTACTCCACAGCGCAGCAGTTTGTTCAAAGAATCTCTTGAGCTGCAGCGAGGTGAAAATTCAGCCTGGCTAGGAAAAAGTTCACCAGGCCTAGGCCCATCTGGTCACCTTGCTCGGTGTCCCCACCATGGTCAAATCCACATGGCTTTTTTTTTTTTTTTTTTTTTTTTTTTTGGTTTTTCGAGACAGGGTTTCTCTGTGTAGCTTTGCGCCTTTTCCTGGAACTCACTTGGTAGACCAGGCTGGCCTCGAACTCACAGAGATCCACCTGGCTCTGCCTCCCAAGTGCTGGGATTAAAGGCGTGTGCCACCACCGCCTGACTCCACATGGCTTTTAAAATGGCATCAGATGTAAAAAGTGTGGGGAGTGGAGGAGTTGAGGTCATATTTTCAGGATATCACAGGTAAAGGACATCTGCCAACTTGGACTGAATCCCTAGGCCCAAACCCAAGGTAGCCCTTCCTGCTGTCCACCTGCTCCTGCCTTCTTGTGCCCTGACTGGGGCCCTTCAGTGCCTCCTTTATGAAGTCCAAGCTCTCTGGGGCAAGATCCCAGGCTTGTTTCCTGCAGTCTTAAACAGCTTCCAAACACTGTGGGACTTGCCCCACCTATCGGACCCAGTGTGTTACTGGAAACCTGAGTTCTTACTAGGATTGCTGCTTCAGTTTGTGCAGCTGCAGCAGGACTGAGCTCACACCAGCCCTGCATTAAAAAGTGCAGCTAATCCTGCATGGAGGGCTAAAGGACATGAGAGGACAGATAGAAAAATGAAATCTCAGTCTCAGCAGACCGGGATTGCTAGTCAGGAGTCTATTTGCCTTGGCTGCCAAGAAGCTCCAAGCTGAAATGATTGTTTATCTCTTTTCTTTATTTGAGATATTACAAACACCTTATAGCATCCTTGCAGCCCCCCTTTCTGAACCCATGTAGTATTTTATCCAAGGATTTAAGCTTTTATGCCTAAGTTGTGGCTTTGGGTCCTGAACTGCATGCATCTGAGGGCACCAGCCATACTTCGTCCTGCCTTTTCTCCAAAATAGTCACATTAAGTCTAGTGCATTGCTCATGCCTAAGGAGACCTATCAGGGGGAATGGTGGCTAAAAAGTTCAATTTTTTTTTAATCTGTCCATGAAGGGAAAAAAGCCTTGGCCTTAGCCAAGAGGACGAGAAACAATCAGGAGTCCTTTTTTAAGCATGCAGATGTCTTAATGTCTATGCGCTTCCCTTTTTGCATCAGCTGGCCATAGCTTCAAGGCATGTTAGTGTCCAGCTATTCTAATGCTGTCTGGGAAGAAGGACCAGGATTACAGCAGGCACATCCATGTGCTACGCAAGGCTCCATAGGGATCCCAATGCTTCGGCCCTGTTTCTGGATTCAGGGCTGCCATGGTCCTGACCCCGTTGTACCTTCTCTGCTCCTACACTGTAGGGTTTCGATCTGTCTCCCTCAATGGAGTCAACAAGTCTGTGAGCCCCTTGTGGGCAGGGATCCAGCTCTGTGTTTGGCAGCCCTAGATTTCTGCTGGGTTCTGGCAGCTCCTGGCCAGGGAAGATGTTTGCCTGGGTTTTCTACTGTCTCCGAACTGGAGGAGCCACGCCCCCAGGAGGAAGCCTCACAGTTCTGGTACGGTTGCTGCAGCTGGTGTTGTGAATCAGGCCGACGAGCAGCGCATCTTCTTACCCGGCTATTTCACGACACCAGGGTTGCATCCTACCCATCCTCTCCAGGCAAGCCTCGTGGGACCACAGGACACAGGAACTTGGGGACAGGGTGGGTTGGGGTAACTGTGAAAGGTGATTTTCAATAGCCCATAGCATCTCTATCCTATAGCTCCTCATAGTCACCTGGGCAGCTTTAGACCAATGCCAGTGGCTGTCCTCCCCCTACTCTGCCAACCCATGACCTCAGAGTCAGCATTCCTGAGAGGCTCTAACCCATGTGCAGCAGGAGGGAACCAGGTGGGCCTAAGGCTCAGAATCGAGCTGCTCCCCCCTCTCCCCGTTCTTGTCTGACCATGCCATGCCATCTGCTGGCCCTCCCCAGCCCCTATCCTTTAAATTTGATGTGCACCATACAACTGCTACTCCCAGCACCAAGACGCCCAGGACAAAATCAGCTCCTTATCCTGGCACCCAAAGCCCTTCCTGTCAAAGATTCCTACCCAGGAACATTCTCCCATGGAGCTCTCCCGTCATTGCCCCCCCCCCCCCCCATACACACACACACAAACTGGCCTCATACAGTTCCACATAAATGCTAATGCTGTCATCTGTCTTCAGGACACCTACCATCTTACTATCCTAAAGTTTCTCCCAGGCCTGGCCGCCATCACTGCATATTGAAGCAACCCCCGTCTGGTCTCCCTTAGTCCATTCTTCACACAATGTGATCTGTAGAAAGTCCAGACCTGATCATCACGTTGCAACTTGTAAGCTGGTCTATGAGGCTCAAGTTCCCTCTTCTGTGTACACACCCTGTCTGCTTGGTCCTAGCACCCAGGCCTCCCTGCTCTGTTGGAAGCCCAAGCTGCATTTTGTTCTGGGGCCTTGGCTCTCTTCCTGCCTGGCTCCGCACCTCTTGCAGATCCTGCTCACATACGGGTGGCCAAGCTCCAGGTTTGCATCCTCAAAGAGACCTAATGGCCTGACCTAAGAAAAAGCTTTTCTTCATAGCACATTCTTCACTAGGTATATCCTGACAGTTGCTTGTGTGTTTATTGTCTCTCTCTCCCTCGAGAATGTGAGCTCCCAGAGGGCAGGACTTTGTCTTGTTTGGGGAAGGGCGCCTTGCTCAGCACAGAAGAGAGTTATGTGGTCGTTACCTAATAAATGTGGTGGAATGGAGAAATGCCCCTGCAGCCTGGACTCCCACCGTTTCTTCCCTGGTCTTCCAACCCATTCACCTCTTCCCCTGTCCCTACCTGCCTTTCCTCTCAGCTCCTATATCCTGTGAGGTCCCGTCTGCTGATGGCTGCATGCTCTGGGCCTCCAGGAGGACTTAATAGAGATCCGGAGGGCCCTCTGTGGCCCTGAAGATGGCAGGCCCAGAGTTAGGAGCCTGCAGCCTGCCCTCCTGTCCTTGTGGCTCAGCCCCCAAGAAGAGGAGTTTTTTCTTGTGTCTTGAGCCTCTCTGGTCCTTGACTGTCCCATTCCTCCTGAGAGCCAGGCTGAGGCTAGGCAGGAGAGAGCTGGCTGGCCCTGGTACAGGTGTAGCTCCCGCCTTGCTGCTGTAGTAATTAAGGCTCACTCAGTGGGGAGACTACGTTAAAGGCTCCCCAAAACAAACAGAATAGAAACTCCTTAAGGCCCAGTCCCAGGACTGTGCTCAGAGTCCTGTGTCCTCTCAGAAGCTGCCGCGAGAGCAGGAACCGTGTGTCCCTCTCAGGAGGAGCCCCTCCGAGGGTTGATCAGATGGACTGCATTCCATCAATCACAAGCCTTCCCTTCTCAGGGTCTGTGCTTTGGCACAAGGTGCTAAACAGTCACTAGCTGCCCTGATAATTGAGCCCCTCAAGGGATCCTGCCTCAACCTCATCCTACTCCAGAGAGTGCAGTGGGGCAGAAGGTTCTAGAAATAGCCTCACACCCCTTCCAGCTGGCACAGGTGTTTGGAGAAAGGAAGAAGTGATATGCCAAGGTCACTCGGCAATTTCACAGCCTCTTACTCCTGGCTGAAAACTAGCCCTGGCCCTTTCTATCCCGAGATCTTTATCAGGAACTTTCCACAGCTGCCAGGGCACCAGTGTGTTGGAATGATGTGGGGACGTTGGGTGGCTGTGATTTTTGCCAAGTAGCTGGCAGTTTAAAACCCAGAGGATAAGATCTGCCCTGAGGGTGGTGGACCTGTTGGAAGGCAGTGGGAGGTTTCACAAATCTCACAGTCCCTGGCAAGAAGGTGGAAAACTGACCCGGAGGGGTCCTTGGCCTGAATCCTTCCTTCAAGCCTTCAACCCTGCTGGGAGTTGGCAGGAAAAAGGGGCACATGTGTCCGCCTTTGTATGCTCTCCCATAGAGGCATGATCTGTGCTGTGGGAATCCCCAAAGAGCCCTTGCATGCCTCTCTCAAGGTGATCCTGCCAGCCAAGGACTGCCCTCCTGGATTAGCCCTCCAGGCTCTAGTCATCCTTGTTCACTCACTGTACAATCAACAAGCATTCATTGAGCACCTGTCTGCTATTCTGGTTGCTTGAGATAGTCGCTGAACCATGGGGCAAGGTCCCTTTGTGGCTTCCATTCCAAGAAATTGGAGGGAACACATGCCCCCTTCACAAAAAAAGAGCACGGAGTCTGGAAACTTCTCCAGCTCATAGGATGACTCTGTGGCCGTCTCCAACTGGCCTCAGCAACCTCTTTCCGGCCCTCCAGCTGGGCACACCTGTCCTGGTCTCCCTGGCCCAGAGCAGCAACAGTCAGCTGGGCCTCGCGAAAGCACCCACCAACTAGTGCTCACTTCCTGTTGGAGGTCCCAGAGTCTGGATGCCTTGGGCAGGTCCTCAAGGGAACGTGGGTAGGCTCTGAGAGGCCGGGCCAAATGGGAGGGAGTGGGAGTGTTTCCTTCCAGTTTCCTCTGGAAGATGCTGGAGCCTGAGCTGCACGAAAGTGGAGCCCCAGTGCAAGAGCAGACAGCAGCCTTCCGGCCTCCAACCCATCCCAGGCCTCCAGGAGAAACAAGCAGTTAAAAGGCCTCCTCCTCCCAGAAGCCCTCCCTGGCTGGCCAGGCCTTGACCCTTCTCCAGGGGCCCACTCCTATAGCTGTCTGCTCGGATCGTAGCTGGTCTGCTCTGTTTCTAGGTTTAGCTTTCTGAGAGCCCTGCCCCACTCTGAGTAGAGACAGGGCTTCTCTAAATCCCTGACTCCACTACCACACAGTATAGGGCAGGGGGTGGGGGTGGGACTAGTAAAGGTCTGTTGGACAGAGACAAGAGATCTCCAATCTTTTAATTTTTAATTTTTATAAACTTTATTATAAACATCTTGCAGTCAGCCAGTGGTGGCGCACGCCTTTAATCTCGGCACTTGGGAGACAGAGGCAGGCTGATCTCTGAGTTCAAGGCCAGCCTGGTATACTAAATGAGTTCCAGGACAGCCAGAGCTACATACACAGTGAAACTGTCTCCAAAAAAAAAACCAAAATAAATAAATTCTTGCAAGTCAATAAAAAACATTGCACACCAAAATTAACCGTAATAGAAGTTGATACAACCTAATGAACGTCTATACAGTTAGAATTGGTATAGAAATAGAAGCTGTGGAATGTCACATTAACTTTTACACCTTTAGTGTTGAATATATTTTTTGCACTTATCCACCACCAAAACCAAAAAAATCTGTGACAGAGTTAGAACTAGAAAAACACTAGCTTTCCCCCCACCCTGCCTCCCCCTAACCCTGCCTTTCATATCCCGTGTCCTTACCTGCATTCATTCCTTCCTCACCCCTTATATTAGCTTTTCCTGTTCTTTCTTCATGTTATACTGCACCCACAAGTACTTTTGTCTATACATGTACATATATTTTTGGCTAAGTTCCACATGAGGTAGAATATGTTATTTATTTCTGAGACTGTGGATCTCACCTAATATTCATTCTAAGACCATTTTCCTAAAAAAATTTAACTTCATTTTTTTCTTTAGAGCTGAGTAGCATGCATGCACATACATGCACACACACATGCCCACATACAATTTATGCACGTATATGCATATGTATATATAATTTTGTTATCCATTCATTTGTTGATGGACAAGGTTGATTTCAATTCTTTGTTATAATGAATAAAGCAACAATAAACATGCGCAGTCTTTTTCAATTCTTGTAAGGGGCTGGGTCACCTCACCACAGAAGCAGACTGAGAAGTGAGCAGTCAGGGCATATGTCTGGGAGGGCAGAGGGAAGCAGGCTTTGGTGGAGGCCCTAAGCCTCAGATGATCCAGGCAAACCCTGAGGCAGGGCAGGATGTCAAGCTTCTATGCCTCACGTCCATCAGTCATTAAACACCCAACCTCTTGGGGAAAAAGACGACTGTGGGTGGGGCTATTGGTGGAGGAGCTGACGCCAAGAGCCTTCACAGCCGTATGTCCCCTGTTTCTTCAGGACACATAGAGCATCCACTAATTCGTGCCTCAAAACCCAGGGTCCCTTTCACATGTGAGGGCACTATCCCTGCAAGGGCTTAGGAGCCTTCAGTGATCAGACCTTCTACTACATGGAAACACTACAGGGCGCCAGAGAGGGAAGGTACAGTTGCTCTGGCCCCTGTAGGCCAAGCCTATGGATGTGTAGCTCAGGTGTGACATTATGCCTGCCCTAGAGGCCAGTGGCCAGCACCAAGCCCTCAAGATTTGTAAGCCAAGAGATGGCTGCAGGTCTGGCTTGAAGCCACACATATACTCATGTAAGCCATAATCATAATGGCTTATATATATTGAGATGTATCAGGAAAGACACTGAGGGACAGAGATCAGAAGACAGACTCCCTTTTTTATATGCATGTCCTAAAATGGCATCCATTCAAACAAGTAAATAAACAGAAAGGAATACACCGTGGCCCAATGAGAGGGCTGTTAACCTGCAATGTTGGCCTTCTCTGGGTCCTCTCTCATGACTGCTGCTTCCTGGGATCTAGCTGCAGAACCTCTGCTACCCTAGACTCAGAAGAGCTGATGCAGGACTCAGCGGTGTGGCTCTGGCTAGCCCAGCCCTCCTGCTCCAAAGTGGCCCCTATGTCAAGGATGAAAGAAATGGGGGCAGGTCAGCAGCTGCTAAGCTCCACCTCCCAGCCCTGGCAGAGACCCTGCTCACTAGCCCTGGGCGGTCTTGGCCAGGCTCCCGCCTTCTCCCAGCTGCTGCCCAGCCTATAAAGCCACCCTTGGTGTCCTTGCCTACTCTGTCCCCCTCCCTTGATACCCAGAGTCATCATGGCGGAGCTCCCTGTGACAGAGATGCCTGGAGATGCTCTGTGCAGCGGACGCTTCACCATCAGCACACTGCTGGGGGGTGACGAGCCCCCACCAGCTACCTGTGACAGCAGCCACCCCAGCCACTTGACACACGGCAGCACCTTGTACATGCGCACCTTCGGTTACAACACTATCGACGTAGTGCCCGCCTATGAACACTATGCTAACAGCGTTCTGCCCGGCGAGCCCCGGAAGGTGCGGCCCACCCTGGCTGACCTGCATTCATTTCTCAAGGTAAGCACCACCAGTTCAAAGACTGGCTACTTCCTGGCCCTGCCACATTGGCCTTGATTACCCAACATGTTCTGTCACCTGTGTTGTAAAGATGGCATCTTCCTCAAGGACCAAGATATCCACATGAAATAGCCGACTGAGGTGCCCCTGAAGCTCAGGGCACAGCTAATACTCAATGCCCAGGCACTGGCAGCCCAAAGATAGCATGGCTGCTCATATAAATGCAGGTTGCACACCCCTGAGAGAGACTGTGAGCAGGGAGCAGGGTAGGCCCTCTCAGATATCAGCCTGCTGGCTTTGCTGTCTGGGAAGCTGGACAGCCCAATCCCTGTGACCTCACTTTCTCACTGACAGTTGGACAGACTCTTGGTTCAGGAGCCGGGACTCACCTAACTCCCAGCTCTCTTCTCTGCTTCCGAACAACCCTCTGAAGGGGCCAACAAACAGGGATGCTGGGATGAGGTGCTGGGAAGAAAGGGCAGAAAGCCCCAGAGTGGGCTGCAGGGACCAGGGATGTGAACCAGAAGGCCTGTCATACTGGGGTAGAAGCCTGGGTTCAAGTCCATCTGTACCAGAGACCCAGTGCGTGGCCTGGACCAAACCGCTTCACCTCTCAGGGGTCAAATAATCCTGTCTCCCTTCTCTGACGGCGTGCTTGTCAGTTCCCAGCCCTCTGCCCGAGAGGGGGAGGAGCGCTCTGAATGCTCAGCTTGCTCTCCTCGGTGTCTTTCCAAGCTTCCAGTGGCATTGTGCCCATGAAGCTGTCCACGGGCTGCCTGCGTGTCAAACCGGGGGCCAGCAGGGCTGAACACAGACACCAAGCCCCCAACTCCCATCTCCTGACTCCTGCTGCTCTTCCCTAGCAGGAAGGTAGCCACCTGCATGCCCTGGCCTTTGATGGACGGCCAGGCCGTGAGCTGACGGATGGACTTGTGGAGGACGAAACAGGCACCGACAGTGAGAAGAGCCCTGGGGAGCCTGTGCGCTTCGGCTGGGTCAAGGGGGTGATGGTGAGTGGGTGTGGACTGGAGCCTGATGTGTAGAAAGGGGGGGAGGTAGAGCCCCGTTCAGCCCCAGCTTTCACTCTCAGACCCTAGTGCGCACGTTCGACCTTGGGCTCAGTTTGGGCCTCCACTTCCCCATCAGCACGGTACCCTCCAATTGTACTTGGTGTAGGCGTCCCAAACTTGGGAAGATCTCTGCTTAGCTACTCACTGATCTTGTAGCCTTAGGAAAGTTTCTTAGCCACTTCCTGCCTCAGTTTCCTTACCTGTAAAATTGAGCATTAAATTAGTTTATAGCTGTGAAAATTCTTGGATCAATGCCTGCTAGGGAGTTATTAGAAGAAATTCCCCATAGAGCCACCAGAGGGCAGCACTAACACACAAATCTACAATACCCCCCCTACGCCCCCACTCCTCACCCCCACCCCCACCACCTCCCCCACCCCCCACTCCCACCCCACCACCACCCCCACCACCCCGCCAGGCCTCCCCCCCAACTCCCACTCCTAGAGTGCATCCTAATGGGAAAGGGGTGTTTGCTATCACTTGGAACATAAATAAGCCTTCAGACAGTAAAGAATCAAGTGACCTTGACTTTGAAAGACACTCTAGGTCTCTACAAAGGTGATGGGATGGGGTGTAGGAGAAAGCTTCAGTCCTACCCTGGGAGGCAGGCGGCTAGCTTCTGGTCCTAATTCTGCAAACCCATTATGATTGTTTCTCAGAACCAGAGCTTTCACCCGCCCCTGGGGGATCACAGTCAGGGTTGGAGCATGCCCTGATCTGTGTTGTCCAGAACCAGGCACGTCCTGGTTTTCATCACCGCAGATGAGAGAAATCTCATGGGTGTGAAGGACACATGTCCTTACCTGGCCCTGGTACTTGACAGAGCCAAAGTCCACGGCAGGCCCTCCCGCTTGGAATTTCAGCCTCAGTTATGGCCTCTGGCTTTGCCTTTAATGTGGAAGCAACCCGGGCTTTGGTTTCTGCTCTGCGTGGGGCGCTGCTGACACTCCCATGCCCTGGGCCAGTAGCTACCCAAGGCAATGGCTGGGACCTGGCAGACAGTCTTGGGCTTGGAACAGGGTGAACGATGGGAAGGCTGAAGCCCATTCCAGGCCTCCCTGGCAAGGTGGGAGGAGGTGGGATGAAAAGATGTCCTCTCCTCCCCCTTCCTCTCCTAAGTCAGGCAGTCTGAGCCCAGGGGAGGGAGAGCACACGAAGCATCAGGTGTTCCCCAGGCCTGGGAACAAGCACTTGAGGGTTTGTCCTTGGGCATGTGACCCTCAGGAAACCTCTCACACCACCCTCCTCCTCCCAGATCCGATGCATGCTCAACATCTGGGGTGTGATCCTCTACCTGCGGCTGCCCTGGATTACGGCGCAGGCAGGCATCGGTGAGTGCGCCTCTGAGAGGGGAAAGCGCGTGCTTGAGTTCTGGTCCAAGGCCCCTTGGGCTGTAGAGACACCGGACTAGGCCTCGTCCCCACAGCACACCCTCAGATGGCAGCAGCCACAGGTGAGGGTGCAGCTGAGGAGGCGGATGTAGAGTCAGAGGGTTCAGGGCCCCTCAAAGTCACTCGGTCCCACTGAGCCAACTTCTATTGTAGAATCTTTGTGCTCTGGGACTCTAGAGGAGCAGGGCTCAGATGCTGGGCCTGGCACCAAGCTGGGTAGCCTTGTGGAGGTTCCTAACCTTCTCTGAGCCTTGGTTTCCTCCTGAGTAAAATGGGTCTGATAGTAGTACCTGCCTCACAGAGTCGCTGCGAAGTTTACAAGGCTCAGGAAAACAGCACAGGCCTTGGTACCTGACAGTACTGAGGACATGGTTAGCTATTGCTTTGATTTTATTGTCAAAGATGGGTACCTTCCCTCCCACGCCTGGAAACCATTCACACATTGGCAGCTCACCGCAGGAGGTAGATAGACCCACTTTAACTTCATCTGGGGAAGTGTGTGTGTGTGTGTGTGTGTGTGTGTGTGTGTGTGTGTGTGTGTGTGTATGTGTGTGTGTATACACTCATGCACACGTTTGTATTTGAATGTGCAGAGGGCAGAGGATAACCTCAGCTATCCGCCTCAGGAACCACCCACCTCCTTTGAGTCGGGTCTTCCATTGGTCCGGATCTCACTAATTAGGTAGACTGATTGGTCAGCAAGCCCCAGGCATCCTCCTGTCTCTGCCTCCTCAGTTCTGGGCTCACAGGTACCACCATGCCTAGGACTTCATGTGGATTGTGGAGATCAAACTCAGATATTTGTGCTTGTAAACCAAGCACTTTACTGAGTGCTTAGCTATCTCCTAGGTGTCCTGGCTTTTTGTTTTCATTTTGAGACAGAGTCCTGTATATCCCAGGTCTCAAACTCACTCTGTAACCATGGATGACCTTAGATTTCTGGCTGCCGCATCCCAAGTGCTAAGATTAAAGGTGTGTACCATCAGGCCTGGATTATGTGGTACCAGGGCTCAAACTCAGGCCTTGTGCTAGGCAGACACTCTCCCAACTGAGCTACCTTCCAATCCGTATTACTGGTTTTTTGTTTGTTTTTCGAGACAAGGTTTCTGTGTGTATCCCGGTTGTCCCGGACCTAGAACTTGCTCTGTAGCCCAGGCTGGCCTCGAACTCAGAGATCCACCTGCCTCTGCCTCCCGAGTGCTGGGATTAAAGGCCTGCGCCACCATACCCAGCTCTTATTACTGTTTTTTATTTTGGGGTTTTTGTAGGGGAGTTGTTGTTGTTTGAGGCAAGGTATCTCTATGTAAACTAGGCTTATTCTAGAACTCTCTCTGAAGACCAAGCTGGCCTTGATCTCCCAGAGATCTGCCTGCCTCTACCTCCTGAGTCCTGGGATTAAAAGTGTGTACCATGCTCAGCTCCTTGTGTCTGTCTTGACACAGGACCTCTCTCTATACTGCCCAGGCTGGCCTTGAACTCTCCATCCCCGCAAATGCTGGGACAACAGGTCTGCACCTTGGCCTCTAGCTGAGACCCATTGTTTTTCAGGAGGAAAACAGACTCAGAGAAGGAAAGGGACAAAGGTCACATGGGGGCCTGGGAGGCTCGGGTCACATGGGACCTGTGGGAACTCGGGTCGCATGGGGACCTGGGGGAGCTCGGGTCACATGGGACCTGTGGGGACTCGGGTCGCATGGGGACCTGGGAGGCTCGGGTCACATGGGACCTGTGGGAGCTCAGGTCACATGGGGGCCTGGGGGGGCTCGGGTCACATGGGACCTGTGGGAGCTCAGGTCACATGGGGGCCTGGGGGGCTGACTCAGGTTTCTCCATGGATTCTCACCTGGGAAATGTGTTGATTGAGTTTTTGGGTGTTCACATTCACCCCTACACAGTGCTGACTTGGCTCATCATCCTGCTGTCCGTCATGGTAACATCCATCACAGGCCTTTCCATCTCAGCCATCTCCACCAATGGCAAGGTCAAGTCAGGTGCGTTCTCCCGGGAGTCATCGACACCTGGATCTCTGAGCTGCCACCCCACCCCTGGCATACCCCATGACACCCATGTGGTCCAGACACGGACTTGTGGGAGCGCTCTACCTCTCAAGTTGGTCTCAGTTACCTGCTCTGTGGCCCTTGGTCCTGCCCGCCCTGCATGCAGTACACTGTTATTTCTCTGGCTCCCTGCTCTGGCCTGCTAGGTGGCACCTACTTCCTTATCTCCCGGAGTCTGGGCCCAGAGCTGGGGGGCTCCATTGGCCTCATCTTCGCCTTTGCCAACGCTGTGGGTGTGGCCATGCACACTGTGGGCTTTGCAGAGACCGTACGGGACCTCCTTCAGGTGAGGGGCCAGGCCTGGGCCAGAGAGAGCTGGGCAACCTCCCCATACTGCTCCTCACACTGGGCCAAGCCTTCCTTCTCCTGCCTAATCTTACATACTATTGACCAAAGCTATGTCTGGTCACTTTGAGTGAAAACAAAATTCTCATTAAGTGCAGACCACCCCCACAAGACCCCTTTTAGGGTACATGTTATCTTTGGGCCATGTTGTCCAGGCCCATGCAGTAGCCCTTGGTGGGGGGTGGAGCATCATCGAAAGGTATGCCCTAAGTAAATGGAGCGGGGGGTCTGGAGGAGAACAGGTGAATACAGAACACACAGCTGGCCTGCTTCCCACAGGAGTACGGCACACCCATTGTAGACCCCGTCAATGACATCCGGATCATCGGCGTGGTCACTGTCACCGTGCTGCTGGCCATCTCACTGGCTGGAATGGAGTGGGAGTCCAAGGTGAGGAGGGTGTGGTGGGAGCGAGAGGGTGGGCCTGGGTCTGGCTTTGCCTCTTCTTTAGGTGTCAACTAGGACTGGAGTACTGCTGCTAGGATGAACAGACCCTAAGGCAGCCCTTGTTCTGTCTCCTGTAACCATCCAGAGTGTGGTTTCAGGCTAGCATGGTGGTTTGCATGGGGGTGGGGAGAGGTGTGCAGATTCCTTCCATCCTGTGACCTTCCATCCGAGTGTGGCCCTTGTTCACCTGGTTCACAGTGGCCGCCATCATCACGCCTGTGATCCAGGCAGAGGGAAAGGAGAAGGAGAGGAGGGGCCAGAACCTGGTCTTATAGCCGCACATAGCTGCAAGGGAGGCAGGGAAATGTGCTCTTCAATTCTGCTGACTCCTGTATCCATGTATCCAGCCAAATGTCAGAGGTTTCATACCATGGAACAAGACAAGAATTGCTAGGCTGCAGCCAGCAGGCTGGACCAGAAGGGCGCCTTCAGTTTGGGAGGGGTGTGGCTTTGTTGCCTCTCTTCTCCAGGTTGCTCTCTGGCCTCCTGGCTCAGGTGGTTCTGTGGTTCACTCGTCCTCCTCTTTTAAGTGTCTGCTGCTGGGTCACCTTGCTAATGTACCCTCCAACCTGATCCCATGACAGCCCCTGTTTCTAACCTCAGGCCATCCTTCACTGTCATATCCCTGACTCCTCACTGTCTGACCGAGGTGAGGAAACAGTTGCATGGCTAGAGCGAGGGACCACGGCAGGCCCCTGAAGGCTGGCGTTGCCCTCTGACCTCCGGTGCCTTCTGCTCTAGGCCCAGGTGCTATTCTTTCTTGTCATCATGGTGTCCTTTGCCAACTATCTAGTGGGGACACTGATCCCGGCATCTGAAGACAAGGCCTCCAAAGGCTTCTACAGCTACCATGGTATGTGAGGTCGGGAGCCCTGACGGTGGTTCTGTGGATGGGGACAGTTGGTCTGTGTATTTGACTCATTAAATGGGCACAAGAGGCTGGGATCTTCTCCCATGGCCAGAGGCTTCGCTCGGGGAGCTGACTGCAGGTTTGACAGGGCCCAGCCAGGTGGCCAACCCCCCCTGGGGTGACTCTGACTTAGGCATTGGTTTTCCAGGGGACATTTTTGTTCAGAACTTAGTGCCTGACTGGAGAGGCATCGATGGCAGCTTCTTTGGGATGTTCTCCATCTTCTTCCCTTCGGCCACCGGCATTCTGGCAGGAGCCAATATCTCTGGGGACCTTAAGGTGAGCACGCAGAGCTTATCCTCAGTGTCTGACACTGTAGAGGACGTGCATGCCTGAACCCTGATACCATTCCCAGGACCCCACCTCTGCCCTGAAGACTGACTAATTTGTTCACTACAGGCCTGACTAAGACACCTAATATGCCCTGTTCTTGTTACTTTGGAAAGTTCTGAGCCTCTTTCAAATCCCTCCTGCAACACCTGTCCCTGGCCTTCTACCTGCCATCGTGGGTTCCCAGTGTCGGGTGTCCGCCCAATGTCTCTGTCTCTATTTCCTGCTTAGAGTCGGACACAAGCTAGGTACCGGGTGTGTTTGTTGACTGAATGGTAGTGAAATGGACTCAAAGCAGCAGTGTGGACTCAAATGTGCAGTACACTCTGCAGTGAGGCAAGGGGAGGGCTTTTGCCAGCAGAAACCAAAGAGATGGTGGTGTGCCAGACAGGGAGCCAATGAAGTGCCTGGCATTGTCTTGAACTCAAAGCTGACCTTGGTCTCCTTCCCCTTGGGGGTGTTCCTCAAGTCATGCTTCTCACAGAATTAAGAATTGGGCAAAGCCGGGCGGTGGTGGCGCACGCCTTTAATCCCAGCACTCGGGAGGCAGAGCCAGGCGGATCTCTGTGAGTTCGAGGCCAGCCTGGTCTCCAAAGCGAGTTCCAGGAAAGGCGCAAAGCTACACAGAGAAACCCTGTCTCAAAAAAAAAAAAAAAAAAAAAAAAAAGAATTGGGCAAGCTGGGCATGGTGGCCCAGGCCTGGAATCCCAGCACTCATAAAGCTGACATAGGAGGATCAGGAAAATTGAAGATCATTCTTGCCAGCCTGGGCAAAACCAAACCAAAACCAAGAGCAAGCCCAGTTGTTCCTGGGGGACAACACAGAAAGCAGACTGCTCAGCTGGCTTGGCCTGGATCTCCCAGGGAGGCCGGGGGATCAGAACGCTTGCTTACCCTATTGCTCTTAAGAGAGCAGCTGGCAGACGCCTGGGGTGCCTACCCTCAGGTCATTGTTAGGTTGTGTTTAGACAGCCTGAATCCTCTTCAAGCCCCATTAACTGTCACTGTCACCAAGCTTCGGTCCCCAGTGTTCAGTGTCAGGGCCAACATGTATCTGAGATCCGGGTGGGGGCACCTTTGCTGTGTCCTGGGTCCTCAGGCCTTAAGTTGGCTTTTGGACTTAGCTCTGCCCTTCCTGTGGGATTGTGCTCAGCAGCAGAGCTCCCACTGTGAGACTCTGGGCATTCTCTGCTAGCCTCAGTTTCCCCAACTGTAAAGACTGATAGGGCAGGTGTAGACTTGCGGAGTCATGTAAAGTGCTTAGAGCAGAGAATGTGCAAGCTGGGAGCTGACTGTCATCTCTGTCCGGTTACCATCATGTAGACTAGTAAGCCAAGTGTAGAGAGGGACAGGGGCTGGCCATAGCCACACAAGAGTGAGGGGCCACACCACGGAAGCTTGTAGACTAGAGAAGTCTCACTTAAACAGCTACTTATGGCTTGAAAAATGATCACTGTGCGTGCTTGTGTGTGGGAGGTGTGCGTGTGTGAGTGCAAGTGTGCACACCCCACATCACACATGCAGAGGTCAGAGGATAGCTTTCAAAACTTTGTTGTCCCTTTCCATAGTGAGATCCGGGCATCAAACCCGGGTCATCAGGTCTGCACACGGGCTTCTACCCAGTGAGCTATATCACTGATTCCATTTTATGGACGTTCACATACTTTGTGTGTATATGATGTGTGTGCATGTGTGTGTGTATGCGTGCACACTCATGTGTAAGCTTAAGCGTGCACATACAAGGTGCAAGTATTGTATTCAGGGGATGACCTTGTGTGTTGGTCTTTCGTTCCACCTTGCTGGAGACGGCTTATTCTTTGTCCACCCTTGCCCACACTGAGCTAACTGGCTTGTAACCTGGACATTCTCCTGTCCCTACTTCCCATCTGGCCTTGGGAGTCCTAGGATTACAGATGCAGGCTGCTGTACCAAGCTGTGTGTGGGTTCTGGAGACCTGAGCTCGGGTGCTCATGCCTATACACCATCGTTGCGCTGGCCAGGCATGTGGGTGCAGGACATGTTCCCCATCTACGCTTTCCATTCATGAGCACTTGCTACACCACACAGGGAAACTGAGTCTCCAAGATGTTGAAGGGTCTCTCCCAGAGCACACAGCTAGGAAGGGATGGGCCTGACTTGTGAGCCAGCCTCCAGATATCCGACCAAGATAGGGACGGCAGGTGGAGGCTGAGGGCTAGGTGTTCTTCCTGCGGCAGCAAAGTCCCACAAACCAGGAGCCTTAAAATGACAAGCACCCTCTCCCAGCTCTGGAGACTGGAAACCTCAGTGAAAGGCGCTGACAACATGGCGATGAGGATGGGTCCTTCCTGCTTTGTCCTGGCTGTGTGGGGTCCTGACAAGGCCACCCTGAACTGCAGCTTGCTATTTTAATCTGTGTCGCTCTAATGATGGGTGACATCTGTGTCCCTCCCTCTTCTAATCTGACACCGGTCCTCACTTGAGGCTGACTCTAATCCAGCATATACCTGACTAGGGGCGGGGAGACAGTGAAGGACGGACGGACACAGACACACGTACAGGAGAGCTGGGGTCTGGTGGGGGTCAGCAGGAGCCCAGAACCTCGGCGTGTTTATTAGGCACAGCACAGGGGAGGCCTTACTAGATTTGGTAGGATGTCTCTGAAGGTGAGCAGTCTCGGGCTGTGAACATCCCGGAGGAGGAAGAAGCTGCAGATGCAAGCTATCTTTGCACACACTGACCACTCACTTGCACTTAGACTCCCAAGACAAACTTTGCCATCGCTCTTGAGCCTCACCCACGGAAGGCTTTGCCACCCCCGTGGGGCTGAGGCACCCGAGTCCTTGACACATTCACTCAGGACTCCACTCACTCAGGGCTTCCTCTACTCCCTATAAGAATGACCTCACCTCTATTCCTTACACCTCCAAAGACCTCTTCCCAAACAAGGGCACATTCTGAGGTTCTGGGTGGATAGGGATTGAGGGGGACAGAGGATGCTCATCACCATAGTTACTGGGTTAAGACTATATAGCTGAGGCCTGGGAAATCCTTATGGGTGAGAAACCCCAACAGCTCCACACTCAGGCGGCCATGGCCTGTTGGAATTGGGACCGGGGCTTCACTGTGTACAACTCAGATTATTGGGCATTGCTAGTAAAGGCCAGGGTCATAGGATCCCCTAACAGAGACCCCAACTGATTCAAGTCTCCCCACACTGCAGCCTCCTTCCACTTGCTACCTCTGTTCTCTTTTCACCAGCCACCTGCCACCTCCTTTCCACAATGTCATCTGTCTACTGGGCCTCACAGAGCCCTGGGAGGTTTGCAGACAGTTATCTCACGGCAGACTTGGCCTCCCGCCCTCCCTGGGTTGGAGTCTGTGCCTCCCGGGTCGGGCAGTTATGGCTTTCCTACAGTCTACTGTGGAAAAGTAGCCGGTGCGGCTGCTCTGGTTCCAGCTCCTGGAGTCTGAGGCTGTGGGTGTGTGGGTCAGGACTGCAGGCACCAGGAGCTCTGTAACCCTGCCCTCCTCAGGCCCCGCCACCTCAGTTCCTCACTAGCTGGGTGGAAGTTCTATTTGAGAAAGTGCCTAGGAGGAGGCTGTGACCCGTGTGTGGGTGGATGGGGGGGGGGGGGAGTGCAGGTGTGTGTGGAGTAAGGAGTGTCATTGTTGTTGGGAAAAATCTCCTTCTTGGAGCAGGAGAATGTTTAGGGGATGTCTTCTGCCACTTTATTGCTGGAGAGCCAGACAAATTAATCAGTTAACGGTGATTTACTGCGACACTTTGTGAGGTGAACAGGGTCCAGGTCTGGGTAATTGATTGATTCATCAATCTCCAGCTGTAGCTGGCTGCTGCCTCTGCTCACAGATGAGTCTGAGGTGGAGAGCCAGACACAGGTTTCCCCTCACCCCCGAGCCCAAGTGAGCCTTGCTAAGGGTCCCCTGCGGGTGGGTTATGGAGCTGATGAAGTTTCTCACCTTCACTGGTTTCAACCCTGGGACCACAGGTGATGGCTGTCTCGTAGGTCCTCAGTCATGGGCCCTCTTCTTCCAGAACTGGACCGGTACTGAGGGTCCAAGCTCAGGGTCTGCTGCCCACCCCTGCCCAGCCTCTTCCAAGGCACCGAGGCCCAAAGGAATCCCACAGGCTGCCTGATAATACCATGCCTCCCCACAGGACCCTGCTGTAGCCATCCCCAAAGGAACACTCATGGCCATTTTCTGGACCACCATCTCCTACCTTGCCATCTCGGCTACCATTGGTAAGTAGCCAGACCACATAGATGGTGGGAAAGAGAAAAATGGATCTGCTCTGTAGTAAGGCTGGAGGAAGCTGCTATGTGGGGCTGGCTTCTAACTAGGCAGGGAGGCCCTTGAGCCCTGATTCTGGGGCCTCTGTCACTTCCACAGTGATAGAGCATCTTCATGGTGAGGGAGGCCAGACCAGGTTAACATCTTCCTTGCATCTCTGGGTACTCTTGCTTGCTGCGTTCACCTTGGGGGCAAGCTGTTTACAAGTGGCCAGGGCACTTGAACTATTTTATAGGCACGCGGGGCTTAAGAGCCAGGTCTCTGCTTTAAGGACATCGGGCAGGTCACTTCAGCTCTTCCTGCTTTGGATAAAAGGGGGCAATAACAAAAATAAGAGTACTGCCTTGCCCTGACTGTCAGGTAGACCCAAAACAGTCCCATACTTGCTGCTATCATTAATACTGTCAGGGTATAAAGGAGGAGCCAGCTTGTCCATCCACAGTGACTCACCCTCTGCGGAGGTGGCCAGCCTTTCTGGGATGGAAGAGGAGGAGAGTAAAGCAAAGGACAGAAGGGAAGAAAAGAGACAGACAGAGAGACAGACAGACAGACAGACACACACACACACACACACACACACACACACGCCCTCAACACACACACACACACACACACACACACACACACACACACACGCCCTCAACACACACACACACACACACACACACACACACACACACACACACACACAAACACACACACGCCCTCAACACACACACACACACATGCCCTCAACACACACCTTTCTCCTCTCAGGCTCCTGTGTGGTGAGAGATGCCTCTGGGGACCTGAATGACACAGTGACTCCCGGCTCAGGCACCTGCGAAGGGCTGGCCTGTGGCTACGGCTGGAACTTCACAGAATGCTCCCAGCAGCACAGCTGCCGCTATGGCCTCATCAACTACTACCAGGTACAAGCGGTGGGCCTGGCTACGGGACCCCCAAGGCCGGGGAGGTAGAGGAGTCTGTGAGAAGTTACTGCCCAAGCCTGGGGCAGGGCTTCCTGCCCAGGTAGGGCTCTCGTCCCCACCCCCTGCCTGTGAGTAGGCCTTGGGTCCCCACTGGGGGTTGAGATGTCAGGACCACAGTGGGGAAGGGGTGCACAGTAGGGTTTCTAGCTCGGCCCCCTACCCTTCCCACAGACCATGAGCATGGTGTCCGCCTTTGCACCCCTGATCACAGCGGGTATCTTCGGAGCCACGCTGTCCTCTGCCTTGGCCTGTCTTGTCTCTGCCGCCAAGGTCTTCCAGGTAAAGGTGCAGGAAGGGGCCACTGCGAGAAGGCTGTGGGTTGTGACTGGGGAGCATGAAGTAGAAAGACTCCTCAGGCTGCGGCGAAGCGCCCGGGGTGTCACGTGATATGGGTCTGGGTGGAGGGAAAGGGACCAGGCCAGCAAACTCTCAAAGGCAACAGCCCTGTCTCCAGGTGAAGAAAGGTTCCCAGAATAGAAACCTGGTGAGGTCAGAGAGGGGGCCACACAGGGTCAAGAGCACAGGTGGCCCTGGGAAGGGGAAGGGGGAGGTCCCAGCCAGAGCTTGAGAGTGGGGTACGCTGTCCACAGTGCCTTTGTGAAGACCAGCTGTACCCACTGATTGGCTTCTTCGGCAAAGGCTATGGCAAGAACAAGGAGCCTGTGCGTGGCTACCTGCTGGCCTACGCCATCGCGGTGGCCTTCATCATCATTGGTAAGAGGCTCCTTCCCCGGCCTTCTGTGAAGGTCCTAGGGCCCGCTCCTCTCAGCCCAGCTGTCACCGGGTACTCTGTGACTAGCACTTGTTTGGTGTCGGGGATGGAACTAAACAGGGCCAGGCACATACTGAACAGTTGCTTTGCCGCTAAGGCCAACTCCAAACACCACTTGAGTATCTCTTGAGTGGATGAAGGCCTGCCTGAAGGGCCTTTGGAAAGGCCTCCTGATCCTTTCCCGCCTCCAGGCAGGGTGGCCATGAAGCCACTCCAGGTAGCGGGCCATTCTGCTGTTAGGAGGGAACGTCTCTGCCTCTACTGCTTCTGCATTCCAGTGTCCTGACAGCTGGGACACCTTCCCACCCCCAGGACACCTGTGGGGATGGGCCAAGCTGATACAAATGGCTAGCTCAATCAATACCTTTGCAGATGCACTGACAAAGCCAGCTTCTCACCCAGTCAGGACCTGCCCAAAGAGAAAGTGTCCAGAGAACAGGGCAGCCTAACAGGTTGACTGGCTTCTGCTGGCTTTACCCTGTTCCTGCTGTGTGGCTATGGATAAATCATTTCTCTGAGTCACAGTTTGCTTATCTGCAGAAGAGGGGGCATCCCCTGCCCTGCTCCCTATGCAGAAGCCGGGGCATATAAGCTGTGGAGATCCCACTGAGAGGCACCTTCCTGTTACAACCAGATGTCTGCTGCTCAGGCTGGCCCCAGCAGTCAACCACTTGCCCTAACAGTCTGGTTGCTGTCACCCAAGGGAAGATTCTAGACACTAGATCCTGCATTGTATGAAGAGGTGTCTCACCTAGGGGATAGAGAAGTCTAGTGAGCTGGCCTCAAGAACCACCCCTATCTCCTGCTGCCCAGGTCCAGACCTGTTCCTTGTAACTGCAGGCTTACGGGTGGTACCTTTGGGCTGGTGGCTCTAACTTGGCCAAACTGAGGACTGTGACCCTAGATACTCAAAGGGACCCAATGGGGCTATGTACAGAAGTACCTGGTCCAAAAGAGCTGCTTGTCTTTCTTTGGGCCCCGTGGGAGACCCTAAGAACACACACAGGATTATCTGGGTATACTGGGATGAGCCAGACAAGGAAGAGAAAGAGCCATTGTGGGCAGGATGGCAAAATGGTCTCAGGCAGTGGTTCTCAACCTGTGGGTTGTGACCCCTTGGGCTGAAAGACCCTTTCACAGGGGCCGCGTATCAGATATCCTGCATATCAGATACTTACGTTACAATTCATAGCAGTAGCAGGATTACAGTTATGAAGTAGAAACGGGAATAATTTTATGGTTGGGGGTCACCACAACATGAGGGACTGTATTAAAGGGTCGTAGCGTTAGGAAGGTTGAGAACCACTCTCAGGGGTCCTGGGTCATGTTGCCAAATGCATTCCTTATATTAGTTTGTGTCCCCAAAGTGTCATAACCACTGCCCTTGGTCACCCAGTAGCCTGATGGAGTCCATCCCCACTGTCTTTTACCTTCTTCTAAATATTTTTTTATTACATTTGTTATCTTGGGGAAGGGACACATGTGAGGAGCAGAGGACAGCTTACAGGAGTTCCCTCCTTCCACCACGTGGGTTCCAAAGCGCTAACTCAGGCCAGCAAGCTTGGGGCGAGTGTCTTTACCAGCTGAGTGATCTTGCTGGTGCCCTCAGTTTCCTAAGACACCGACCCTTTGAACTTTGCGGGGAAAAGGACCCACTTCCCGATGAGGAGGTTGAGCTGACTGAGTAGCAAGGCCTGGCTGTGCCAGGGGCTGCTCTAGGTGCCAGGCAGCCTCTGGTGGAGCCCAACATGCTGCCCCTTTCTCCCTGGGTTTTTGAAGCTGAGCTCAACACCATTGCCCCCATCATTTCCAACTTCTTCCTCTGCTCCTACGCCCTCATCAACTTCAGCTGCTTCCATGCCTCCATCACCAACTCACCCGGTAAGCGGAACTGCCCCCCACCAGCCCCAGGAAGAGGTGCAGAGGGGCAGTGGGGGCTGGGCGGGTGGAGGCGGACAGTCCAAAGCCACCTTAATTAAAAACCACATTTGTTAGGGCAGTCTGTACCCTAACAAAGCCAGCCATCCTTTACCGAGCACAGTGCATCCTTGACAGGTCATGGAGGTTGTTCTAGTTCCACCCATTTCTCAGGAGTCAGAAGGCTGATCGCCCAGAAAGGGATGAATTTCCCAAGCACAGAAGGTGGTGCACAGCTCACCTCTAGGGGGAGCCGTTCAGACTGCAGCAATTCAATTTCACAGCTCTCTGGGCTGCTGCTGAAAGCCTTCTAGCAGATAGCAGAGGAAGAATTTTGCTACTGAATCCCAGATCGTCAATGGGCCTGCTATCCCAGCACTTTCCATACAGGCCACAATGTGCCCGGCACTCTCAGAGATATGCCATGGTACAGTGGTCACTAGGGGTGGCCCTAACCTGGCACAAAGCCAGGCAGACTCAAGTTTCCCACCATCCTTTTAATCCCCTGGGCTCCCTCAGAGCCCTGGGGATCGGGCACTGTTGCTGATGTTGGGGCTATGCTTGGCCAGGGCTGGAAGTTCCCTTTCTGGTGTAGCTTGTTACCGTGGTGACATAAGTGCCCAACAGGCAAGGTTGTGGGATGTATGCCTTAGGACCTCCCTAACCCACCCCTGGAGTTAAGGCTGGTGGGGCGCGCTAGGGATCCCTGGCTGGTGGGTTCAGGCCAGGATCACAGCCCTGGGTATGGAGACATGGGCATTGCTGCAGCTCTGGGAAGGAGAAGTCTCCTGAACATGGGCATATGCACTGACCTGGCCCCACCTAGGTTGGAGACCCTCCTTCCAATACTACAGCAAGTGGGCAGCGCTGTTTGGGGCAGTGATCTCGGTGGTCATCATGTTCCTGCTTACCTGGTGGGCGGCTCTCATTGCCATTGGAGTTGTCCTGTTCCTCCTGCTCTATGTGATCTACAAGAAGCCAGGTGTGTGGCCGTGGTCCCCCTAGGGCTCAACTCCCTGCCCGGGCAGCCATGCAGTCGCCAGCCCCTCATCCCAGGTGGAGCCTTAAATGAGACTCAGACTGGCCTCCACCTCAGCCTTCCTGAGCCAGAGGCTCAAAGGAACATGCCCACTCGGGGCCAGACTCCTGTCAGATTCCTAGCGGGGCTACCTGCTAGTGTGTGCATGCAGGCCAGGGTGGCCAAGGGTGGCTGTGTGAAGGTGGGCACTGAGCAAGATGGTCTACCTGCATGTAGCAGGGCCCTAGACTGACTTCAGTCTGAGGGAGGCAACCCTAGAACTCTACATCTGAGCCTGGCCTCCTAGGTGGTCTCGGAGGTCTGCTCTTTGAGTGGGAGTTCAAGACTTCACTACATAACTTTTACTCACGTGACTATATGTGTAGCACTTGGCTCTAGACCTGCACATATTAGGTAGGAACAGAGCTGCCAGCTGTCTGTCTGTCCGTGGCCTTGCTCCCAAGGTGCCCTGGGCCTAGGAAAGGTAGACATTCCCTCTTGCCCCACATGACTGGTTGCTCCCTGCAATTTTGAGTCTCGCTTTCTCCTTTCTGCCCTCAGAGGTGAACTGGGGCTCCTCGGTGCAGGCCCACTCCTACAACCTTGCCCTGAGCTGCTCCATGGGCCTCAATGAGGTGGAAGACCACATCAAAAACTACCGGTGAGCAAGGCTTCTGGGCCACCCGGGAGCCTGCAGCTGGCTGTGGTCCTCTGCTCTGGTAGATCCAGGATGGTAGAGAGCAGCTGACCATCAGAGGGCTAGGCTTGGCATTGCCCAGTAAGGACAAAGCAAGGGAGGGGTCCTTATGCCTCAGTTTCCACCGTGAAGCTGTTCTGTCGTCAGGGTCTCCTGGTCCAATTCTCGTGACACAATACTGGGGTGGTGGCAGTGACAAGCCTGACCAGGGTGCTCCTCAAAGCTGGTTCCCAGTGGTGAGGGGGGTCATTCGCTTCTGTCCTCCTCACATCTGGCTGTATTGTAATCACTAAGATTTATTCATGCCCTGTGTACTGTGACTCAGACACTCATGACAAACTCCCGAGACCTACGACAGCACTCACCTCAGACACAGGCAAGGACAGATGAGGCGTGGAGATGTTAACTACCCCTGTTTGCCCAGCTGGTGAATGAACCAGTGAGTCTGGCTCTGACTGGCAGGGGTGCTTAAAGACAGTCCCGCGCTGCCTCTCAACACAAAGGTTCAGGCGCCCGGCCAAGGTACAGGGAGTTTGTAAACAATGGCTTCCTCATGACTGACCTTTACTCCGCTTTTGCCACGCTGGGCTTGGCAGGGCAAAGGAAGTTTGTAGGCTGGTGAGTCTGATGGTCTGAGCAAGACAAACAGGGAGACTTAGTATCTTGACCTCAAAAATACCTGAAAGACCCCTGGAGTCACAGCTGGAAAAATGTGTCCCAGTGCACAGCCTCACCCAGGGCCATCAGGAGTCAGGAGTCCAGGGGCACCTGCCTTTAGCATGGGAGCCCTGAGGGCGCTCTCATGACACATCCTGCTGTGTCCCTTCTTTTCCTAGGCCCCAGTGCCTGGTGCTTACGGGACCCCCCAACTTCCGCCCGGCGCTGGTGGACTTTGTGAGCACATTTACCCAGAACCTAAGCCTGATGATCTGTGGCCATGTGCTCATTGTGAGTGCTCCTGGGGAAGTAGGGGGTGGGAGGGACATCTGTACCTTGCTGGGAATTGGGGCGGGGGAGATGGGGGGGGGGTGGAGGAGACAGGGGACCTGGATGTAATGTCTGCCAGGGGATAGGAAGGGCAGGGAAAGTGGAGCCAGCAAAGCCAGGTCCTGAGTGAAGCCCAGGCTGGCTCAAGTTCACCATGTAGCTGAGGCTGACCCTACCTCTGCCACCCAATGCCACAGCGCTTAGCTTCGCTTCCTCTTTTTCTGTCCTTCCTCTAATCAAGAACACCTCTAGGTGCTTCTGAGTCTCAGGGGAGCCTCTAGGGCAGATAGAAGGCTGAGTCAGGCGGCGTGGTGGGGACAACCCTGACATCACCTGCCCCTCACCCACAGGGACCCCGAAAGCAGAGAGTGCCCGAGCTCCAGCACATGGCCAGTGGGCACACCAAGTGGCTGAACAAGCGCAAGGTCAAGGCCTTCTACTCAGACGTCCTTGCTGAGGACCTCCGAAGTGGTGTCCAGATTCTCATGCAGGTGCCCTGGCAGGCTTCCCACGGGACTGACTCAGTGCGGCGGTGGCTTGCGAGGCCCAACGTCCTGGTCCAGTTTAAGCTTCAGTGGCTGCAGTGGGAGTCCCCTACTTGCTTGTCTCAAGCTGTGCTGGTTCAAGGATGCCCAGAACCCCTGGGCACCTGTGGAGAGTCTGTGGCTTTGCCCAGATCCTGTTTCTGTGTTATTTTATTTTAGTTAAATTTAGTTTAGTTTTAGGGGGTTTTTTTTTTTTTGCAGTACTGGGATTGGGCCGAGGGCTTCAGTGCATGTTAAGGTAGTAGCTCTACCATTGAGTAGCATCCACAGACCCCTTTTTACTTTAAAAAATAGTGTTTGAGACTGAGTCTCACTAAATTGTCCAGGCTGGCCTTGAACCCACTCTGCAGTCCAGGCGAGCTGGGACTTGCAATCCTCCTGCCTCACCCTCCTAGGTAGCTGCAAGTCTAGGCCTGTGTGACTTGAAGCCTTCCTCCCTTTTATTTCTTCAGATACAGTTTACATTTAGTAAAGTGAAAACCATAGAGTGACAAGTGTTTTCGTATGTGGACACCACACAGTGGTCTGTAACCATCCCTCAGATTAACATCTAGAATGTTCCACCAGGCAATGAATTTACCGCTCCACATTTTCATGTGAAGCATCCGAGAACCTTTTTCAAAGATTTTAACTGTTTCTCAAGATGAAAAAAATGTGTGAGGTCTCTTTTGGGGAAGAATTCAGAAAACTTAGATTTTAGAAGCAGGTAGAGAGGACAAGTGTGCACTTGGTTTTCTTTCTTTCTTTCTGTTTGGTTGCTTTGTGGGTTTCTTTGTTTTGTTTTGTTTTGTTTGAGACAAGTAACTACTATGCAGAGCGTGCAGCATCTGACTCAGGTTGCCTGGTGTGCCCCAGATTCTGTGCACTCACACAAAGATCCTCTTGCCTTAGCTTTTGGGGGTTGGGAGTAGGGGGATGGGGAGAGTGGTACTTGGGGATCAGGTACAGGGCCTCCTGAGTGCTAGGCAAGTGCTCTACCATTGAGCAGACCCCTTGTCTGCCTCAGACTCTTGGTAGCTGTGACTAAAGGCATGCCCAACTCTCTCTCTCTCATGTATATATATGTGCATATGTATATATATGAATATATGCATATATGTGTACATGTATGTATATATGAATTTGCATTTATTTGTTTTGAATTGTATACTTTTAAGTGATTAATTTCTTTTGGAGACAGGGTCTCACTGTGCAGCCCTGGCTAACTGGAACTGTCTATGTAGACCTCCAGGCTAGCCTCAAACTCACAGAGATCTGCCTGTCTCTACCTCTCTGGTGTTGGGGTTAAAGGTGTGCACCACTGTACCCTACTCTAAAATGGTTGGTTTGTTATATTGATTTCACTCCAAATCTTTTAAAGAATCTTGTCACAGGGGCGGGGAGAGAAGGGGAGAGAGAGCCTGTTAGGATGTGAACTCCTGTAATCCCCACACATTGGAGACAGACACAGGAGGACCAACAAAAGAGAGAGGTATAGAAAGGGAGGGAGAGAGGATATATAGACTAGGGGCCCAAGAGTCCTCTGACTTGACACGCTTTCTGGATGGACAGAACCCTGAGCTCCTGAAGCATGGGAGGTAAAGGTGGCTGGGATGAGCAATAGCCCTGCACTGATGAACTGTCACAGAACAGAGCCCTTGCTGATCCCAGGGCCTGAGGACCAGATCATCTTCTGACTGACTCTCCACCCCTACCCCGGCAGGCCTCGGGGCTGGGGAGAATGAAACCCAACATTTTGGTGGTCGGATTCAAGAAAAATTGGCAGTCTGCTCACCCGGCCACAGTGGAGGACTACATTGGCATCCTGCAGTGAGTGAGCTCGAAGGTGCAGCCTGTGAGCTGTTGGTTTGGCCCACTGGGGCTCCCTGGGCCTGGGGAAGCAGAGCAGAGGCAGTGTAGGCCCCTGGAGTCAGTTGGTGAAGGCTGAGGTGGAACCGACAGAGGGTGTCTCACCTCGGCCTTCACAGACACTGAAATCAGCAGGTAACACAAAGTGTGGGGTGGGCCAGGTGTGGGGCTCCAGGGAGCAGTGGAGACTGTGGCAAGCTGGAGAAAGCTCTGGACAAGCGTGCCCCTCAGAATGCAGGCCCAGGGTTGCTGGAACGTTCAGCTTTCTAGAGTAGCTGAGCATGGTGGTTGTTAAGCAAAAATCCTGGAGGCTCACAGTTCCCCAACTGGCAAGCTCCCAGGTGGGATTCGAGCAGAGGTGGGAAACTGGCCCAAGGAGAGTCCTCGAGGCCTTCGAACCCTGACTCTGAGCCTCAGCACCTCCAGCTCTTTCCTTTGTGTGTAGAGAACACAGAGGGAAAGTACCATCAAAACACAAGGCTGAGCCTCGAGGCCCTGGGACCTACATCCGGGCCTGCTGTTAACCCCCTATGGGACTCAGCTGTCACCCCAGCTGCTTAACACAATTATGACATGGGGTTGAAAATCTGGCCCCCAGGCTTCCTGCTGCTCCAGTGTCCAAGGCAGTCCAGAGATGTGTAATTGAAGGAATCTGTTGAGGGAGCTTGGCCCGGTGGGCCAGACCCTCAGGGAGGCCTTGGATTGTCATGTGAGGGAGGCCATTCCTAGGTGCACACCTGTTCATCAGTTTACAGTTCCGGCCATATAATCCTAGTGCCAGCTTCTCAGTTCCTCACTGTCTGACCATGAGGAAGTTGCTCTCACCCCAGGACAGGTTTTCCTGTGGAAGTGAAGTGGAAATTAGAGTCCCCAAGCTCCACTCGTGGCAGAGAGGTTGACAAAGTCAACTGATAAGAAGGAATGGGTGTGACATGAAGTAGGGCCTAACTTGGTTTCCCTATGAGTGTCACAGATGACTCTCCAGTTCTGTATACGATACACATAGGGAAACTGAGGCCCACAGACCAACACTAGACATTAGGTCTCCTGGGAGCCAGGTCACAGGGCCAGCGGCTTGACCCCACATCTCCTTTCCAGTGATGCCTTTGACTTCAACTATGGCGTGTGCGTCATGAGGATGCGTGAGGGGCTCAACGTCTCTGAGGTGACGCAGATGCACGGTGAGTACTCGCTGCCCCTAATCTGCCCCTGTCAAAAACCAACCTGCCCCTGTCAAAAACCAACAGCTCTTTTAAGCAGTGCGAGGAAGAGAGGGAAAAATTAGTGAAGTCACCAACTTGTAGATAGCCAGTCCTTCATGGTTCCTTGGAACCCATTTGTTTCCAAACAGAGATGAGACCCAGAATAAGGAAGCGGCCAGGTCAAAACCATGCTTTCAGCTAGGGGCAGACAGGGAACTGGAACTCCCACGTCACTGTCGGATAGCCATGTGGGTGGAGAGGATCTGAGAGAGAAAAGGCGAAGAGGAGGAGGCCACCCATATAGAGACACCACAAGGAAAACACGTAAAGGCCATGGGCACTGGACCTTCTCGAGATCGCCAGGATGTCCTTGGGGCTCCGAAGAGGAGCGTGTTTTCAGCATTTGGAAGCCGCACCTGACTGTGGAGAGTCCCAATTAGTGATGGTTAGATGTGGGAAAGACAAAGAGAGGTCCCGACCAGCAGACAGGCAGGCAGGACTCTTGTTCTTTGCTGGCAGGGACACTGTCACCAGGGGGCCAAGGACATGCCTTCCCATGGCATCTAAAGAGTAAATATTTATGTAGCCACTGCCACAGAGTCAGCAGCCAAGAGACTGTGACTGCTCTAGGCAGGTAACAAGCAAAGCCCCTCCCCACCCAGGGTGCTGCCTCTGGGGACAAAGCCGATGCTTATCATGGTGGGCACACAGGTCACCTCAGCCGTGAAAGTGTCCTGAGGAGATGGACGCAGGGTGCTCAGAGGCCTCTCTGAGGACAAGACCTGCCTGTTGCTGAGGAGGGTGGAGCTGGAGAGAGGGTGGCTCCGGTGGGCCACCCTCTACCCTGAGGTGGTGTGACTTGTGGAGGAGCTGACTTATGGAGGAGCAAGAGGAAGTCAAAACAGCTGGCTTGTGGGGGGCAGGCGGGAGCCAGGGCAAAGGGAAGCAAGCAGCGGCCAGTTACCCCGGAGAAGAGTGGGGGGACTTTCTTTTAGCATTAGGGGAGCTCCAGGAGGTGAGGATCCCAGCATCCCAGGCAGGAGTGCCTGTAGCCCAGCTATCCCCATCTATTTGCAGTTAAAAAAAAAAAAAATGTTTGACCCAGTGGAGGAAGGCATGGGAGCCAGTGGGCATCAGGGTTAGGCCATCTGTGTCTGTCACGGGTCAGCTCCCCGACTCAGAGGATCAGGGTTCTCTTGTCCTATGGGGATGCTAGTGTCAGAACATCTGGGCACTTGGCCAAGAGTAAATGGCTTTCTCTTGTGACAGCGGTGTCCTAATAACTGAGGTTGGGTTACTGTAGGTTTTGAGTTCCTGTTGAAGACGACCAGTGATGAATCTGGGTCTGTGGGCTCAAGGTCCACCCTTGGAAAACCCCCCTCTCAGTCATGCTCAGATGCTATCTGCAGAGAGGACTGCATGCTGTCCCCTTCTTTCAGGGGCACCTGCACTGAGGGAGAACTGGCAGCAGGTGCAGGGATGTCCTGCTGCATTTGTGAGGGGGGGAAGAAGGGCAGGTTCCATCTGAACAGGGATGCTGCAAAGAAGGAAGAGCGTTCTCCCAAACAATAGTCCCCCAGGGTCCTCAGGATCCAGGGAGAGCGGAGCTGGGAGCTGGGCATGGGCTCACGCAGCACTCTAAGAAGCATGGAAAAGGACATTAGCTGTGTCTGGCCAGGCCTGCAGAACGCCTCTGGCCACTGCACGCCCACCTCACTGGGAAAGCCGGCTGTTTTCAGGGAGGTCCTGGCAGTGACCTTGCTGACTCAGATGTGCCCCTTCTTCAGCAGCCCCCGAGGCACTGGTACAGGAGGAGCAGGCCAGCACCATCTTCCAGTCGGAGCAAGGCAAGAAGACCATCGACATTTACTGGCTGTTTGATGATGGAGGTCAGGTCCCCTCAGACCCGTCCCTGTCCCCTGGGACCTTCTGTCTTCCGGGTCTCTGCATCTTCTGACCTGCCCTTCTAGGCTAGGCTTGCTGAGGCCTCTGGTGGGACCCAGAAGCCGACAAAGTGGACAGAGGCCTTAGCTTGTCCTGGTTTTAAAACAAAACCCTCAGCTTTAATGATGCTGCCTTTGATAGAGTCAGCAAGAGACCACAGCCTTACCTCAAGTGAACATATCAGCCATCTGTGTCTGTGGGTTCCACGTCAGGCCCCTTCTAAGGTAGACCAAAATAATGAAAAAAACAGTCATGTCTGTATCAAACATAAACAAACGAATTTCCTGTCGCCATTTCCTCCACAATAAACCCCAGGAGCAATTTTCATGGTACAGGGTTTGTGGCAGGTATGATAGGAGGTGACCTAAGGGATATGCAAGGCCACGTGCAGGTTCCACATAGATCCTGCGCCACACTGTGGAAGGTATGGGCGTCTGAGGACAGGTCCTGGAGCCAATCCCCCTGTGGATATCCGAGAGCCCCTGTGAAGTTCACTGCTGAATGACACCCAGGCAGGCTGGGATGTATGAATCTATGCCCGGCTGCAAGTGTTCTTGCGGGCTAGCCCAATGCAGTCTTTTTCTCCGAAACAGGGAAACTGAGGCACAGAGTAGCATACGCTGATCACATGGTGGCTGGGCCTTGGCCGTGTGTGGAGACATGACAGGGAGGGATGGCTCCTACTCACTGGGCGGATGTTCAGTTTTCAGGAAATAAATGAAGACCATTCTGACGTTTCCAGGCGAACGCACCACCCTCAGCTCATGCACCAAGTACTCTGTGCCAGCTTGCCATTTAAAACCGCCCCATTGGTTGGGTGTGCTGTCACATACCTACAATCCCAGCACTTGGGAGGTACAGGCAGGAGGTCAAGAGTTCAAAGTCGGCCTCAGCTGCATTATAAAACCTTGTCTCAAAAAGGCCAAATAACCAGGATGCAGAGGCAGGCAGATCTCTGAGTTCAAGGCCAACCTGGTCTACAGAGTGAGTTCCGGGACAGCTAGAGCTACTACCTACCTACACCAAGAAACTCTATCTCAAAAAAAAAAAAAAAAAAAAAATAGCCTCCCACATTAGCCAAATAACCCACAGCGCCACTGAGCGCGATGGTCAGTGGGTTTAGTCTGGTGAGCTCCTCCACTGTGAGGAGCTAAGGTCCAGAGTGGGGGGGGGGGGTTTTCGCTGCGGCAGTGTGGGGTGGAAACACACAGAGAGCTCTGTCCTGAGTCTGTTCCTCTTGGCTCCTGGGGATTGTCCCCGACAGGCCTCACCCTCCTCATCCCCTATCTCCTGCACCGCAAGAAGAGGTGGGGCAAATGCAAGATCCGGGTGTTTGTTGGGGGCCAGATCAACAGGATGGACGAAGAGAGAAAGGCGTAAGTGGGGACCACGGGGCTGTGCTGACCCGCCAGCTAGTCTCCCTGACTCCCTATCCCTGTGCCCTCCACCTGTGCCCCTGGGTGGCCCTGAGATTGTCCCAAAGCCCAGGCCAGCTCTCTCCAGCCCACAGCAACGGTGCCTGGGGTTCAGGCAGGAGCTCTCTCCATTTCCAAAGTGTTGGCTTCCTCTCCCACCTTGAGACGACCCTGGTGCCCTGGTACTTGCTATGATAGGGGCAGGTGGTAAGTGATGAAATCATGAGACTTTTCACAGACAGATGGGTGTGCAAGGCAGGACAGAGGTAAGTGAAGCAAGATTAGAACCCTTTCTGACACTGACCCCCGAGTAGGGATGCAGGCTCACGGAGAGACATGAGGTGGTCTAGGCGGCCAGGAGATGCTGTAGAAAATAATGGGGAAATCACACTCAGTCTGTTGGTGAGAAGGGACTTTTAATTCCCTCTCAGGTCTCTGGCTGATTTGGCAGGAGATCTTGGTGTAAAGCTGGCCTATCCTTGAACTCATTTGCTCTGTCTAAGCAAACAGAGCAAGCCTGACTCATTGGCCTGGCAAGCAATGCCATCACATGGCCAGAATTTGGTGACACCTTTATTTCAGTGTTACCTCTTCCCGGCAACAAGTGTTGTTTTCTGTTTTAATTAAGATAAAATTTGCTTCTGAAATGTATCTTACTTCACCCTTTTTTAATGACTGTAACAAAACACCCGAGGCAGGCTGTCTCATAAAGAAAAGAGGTTCCCTTAGTTCATGGTTCTGGGGGCTCAGTCAAAAAGGGCTGCATCTGGTGATGGCCTTCTTGCTGGCAGCGACCTGAGGTTGTGGTGACATAGGACATCACATGGCAAGATACAGGCAGGGTGTGTGTGTGTGTGTGTGTGTGTGTGTGTGTGTGTGTGTGTTCCCCTTTTTCTCAAGAAGCCACCAAAGTTCAATTCAATCATGAGATGCAAACCCAATGACCTGGTCCAATCCTAAACATGTCCTAAACACCAGAACAGGATTCTGTTTCATGATCTCACCCCCACACACTGAGGATTAAATCTTAACCTGAGCCCCTGGGGTAAACAGTATGCAAATCGCAGCACTAAGGCAGAATGTGACTTGTCTTAAATAGACACAGAAGTACACAGAGGTGTGGTCGCGGAGGTGTCCAGCTGGCAGGAGATGGAGGGGAGGGGCTGGGCGACGCTGACTTTCCAGGGAGGGGAATTGAGATTGAAGGTCGTACCGAGACCTGCTCAGGCGAATCGGGGCAGTTTGCCCAAAGAGAAGAGCCTGGTGCAGACTCTAGCGCAGGTCCACGACGCCCCAAGGACAGGATGGGAGGCGACCCCTGACCAGCGCCACTCCTCCTACGCCAGGTCTCTACCTTCATTCTTTCTTCTAGTCCCCCTCTGCGTTTGGGGGGGCCCAGCAGTACTGTCCCTGTCTCCTCCCTCCTCCCCCCTACTCGGTGAGAACTTTTCCAATGAAATATCCTTCCTTGGCAAGGCCAAGAGCAGTGTTGAGGACGGCAGCACCTGGCTTTCAGGACCTGTAAAGAGTAAACAGACCAGCAGGCTCTGCGGCAGTCTTGGCTTCCTGTCCCAGCTCTGGGTGGCAGCTGGGTTCCGTGAGGTTGGCTTAGCTCAAGGTGGCCCTGTCAGGTAGCAGCATGTCCCTCTCACAGCGGTTATGAAAACCCTTCTGTCTCAACTGCCACTGAGTGGGCTATGCGATCTGCTCTATGGGATCGCTATGACCCCAGGCCTGCTGGGCCCCTGACGTGTGCCAGGATGAGGCTACGCAGCTCTGCTTTTAAAACCCTGCTTCTGGGAATGCAGCGCAGCTGGTTAAGTTTGCTGAATGTATACAGAGTCTTGAATGCAACACTCAGAAAGTGTGCTGCCAAGTGCTGGGGAAGCAGAGGCAGAAGGTCAAGGTCATCCTTAGCTAGAGTGAGTTGGACTCCAGCCTGAGCAACAGGAGACTCAGTCTCAAAAACTAAACCAAGTTGGGCAGTGGTGACACAGGCCTTTAATCCCAGCAGAGGTACATGGACCTCTGAGTTTGAGGCCAGCCTGGTCTACAGATCCAGTTCCAGGACAGCCAGGGCTAACAAAGAAACCCTGTCTCAAAAAACAAAACAAACAAACAACAACAAACAAACAAACAAACCAAAGGCCTAGCGGGCTGAGGGGGCTGGAGAGATGGTTCAGCAGTTTAGAGTACCCGCTGCCTTTATGCAGTACCCAGGTTGGAGTCCCAGCACCCACACAGGCCACTCACACTGCCTATAACTTTAGCTCCAGGGGATCTGACATCTGGCCTTCTCGGACACCCTTATACACATGGCATACACACACAGAAAGACACACATAGATGTGTCAATAAAAAATGAATCTTAGAAAAAAATGTAAAGTCCCACTCCTAAGTTCAAGAGCCAGCAGGGATCTTGGTGTAGGGGTCCCAGCCTGGGCCTTTGGACTCCCCCTTCCTAGGATGCTCCATGCTCTCCCAGTCATTTCATCCACTGCCTTTGCTCACTGGCTTCCCCCTCCAGTGAGTCTGGTAGGCCTCAGCTTGGTGGACATAGCACATCTTGGGGGCATCACCCAGTCCATGCTTTGCCTAGAGGTTCTGACCCAGAACTGGGCTGGAGTCCACAGGTGTGTTCTGCAAGATCCTCGGTGATTCCAGTGTGGGCACTGCTCTGTCCCAGCTCCTTGGGCCTTTCCCAACCTTCACCATGCACCAGGCAGCCAGATGTGAAGTCTTTCCTGAGTGCATAGACCACAGTGGGCTTCTCCACTGATGCCACCTTGGTGCCATCTAGCATGCAGCTCCTGGTTTTCTTCTCAGCTCTTGTGTGTTGTTGTCTTGGTCTCTCCCACCTCCTTTCAGTTTACCTCCTCATCTTCCCCTGCCTTTGACCTCCAGTTCTCAAAGTGTGGCCTGGGACCTAGCAGCATCCTAGACTTTTCCTGACCAGAGGACACGTGGGAAATCCTGATCAAATATTTTTCACATTGCTTACCCCTCTCTGACTTACTCCCCCCACATTTCTCACTGTGGGGCCACCTGGCCTCCTGCGTGAGCCACATCTGTTCTGCTCACCGCGACACATACATCAGGTGCGTAATAAACCTCAGAACGAGCGGATACTGTTTTAAAGTTCTGCATCTCTCTTCCAGGATCATTTCTCTTTTGAGCAAGTTCAGACTGGGATTTCATGAAGTTCACGTCCTTCCGGACATCAATCAGAAACCTCAGGCTGAGCAGTGAGTTCTGTGTTGGGAGTTCCAGACAGAAGGGCCGCCTCTGGCCCTCTAGATCCCTCTGCTCGCTGCTCCCTTCTTCCAGCCCTGCTGGTTCCTGTGCTGCTCTTCACATGGGCCGGACACACCGTGCCTCAGGACCTTTGCACGTCTAACTCTTTTTCTACCCAGCGCCTTCTGCCTTGTGTTCACAACTGGCTTCAGAAGGACACATTTCCTTCAGCCAGCAGAGAGGCCTTCCTTACCCGTTATTCCCTATTGCAGGACTCAGGGCATATCTTCCTAAAACACCTGCTTATTTGTGTTTATTTGCTTACTACCACCAGCTGAGCAGGAGTTCAGTGAGGATGGGGTTCAGTCTTTCTTGCTGACAGTGGGGTAGCAGTACTTGGCGCTGAGTAGGCTCAGGAGGGGAGGGTCCAGGTTAGCGGACGATGTGTGAAAAGTTGCTGAATGCCAGGCCTAAGTGTCAAGGGCTGAGGCCACATACAGGCCATGCACTACAAATGACAAAGTTGGATGCTTCGGCCTGAGGAGTATGTCTGTGGGGGGTATCCCCACCTTGAGCTTCCTCCAAGTTCCTGGCTCCCCCGGAAACAAGGCCGTGTCACCCAGCCTCACCTGGACTTTCCTTTCTAGCACCAAGCGGTTTGAGGACATGGTCGCACCCTTCCGTCTGAATGACGGCTTCAAGGATGAGGCCACTGTCGCTGAGATGAGGAGGGACTGTCCCTGGAAGATCTCAGACGAGGAGATTAACAAGAACAGAATTAAGGTGCAAGAGAGGGAAGGGGCTCACCAGGGTCTGGGGTCCCAGCTGTGAGTCCCATCCTGAGCTTCGGGAATCCCCACTTGGCCCACCCCAGTGTCTGAGATGTCCTTGGGTCACATGCGAGGGCTGAACCGTAACATCACGGATCCCCATGCTGCCCTTGGTGGGGAGACTGGTCCTGCTGGCCACTGCTAGGTTAGAGTCCTTCTTCCAGAGAGGCTCTTTTGACGGTGGCTGCAGTGGCATTTTTAGGTGAATGAATAAACAGAAGGGCCAGGCACCCAGGGGCAGATCTCACTTTTCCTCTCAGTATATCAGTGGCCCTGAATCAGGGGCCATTTGCCACCCTCCCCCAGGTAGGGACATTTGTCAACTGTCTAGAGATATTTTTGGAGGTCACAACTCAAGGGATGCATGCTACAGCTATTACATATTCCATAGAAACCAGGAGCCCTAAGAAATGCCTACAAGGCACAGGGCAGCCCTCACAACAAAGAATTGGGCATCCGTGATGCCCACGGTGAGACGGTGAGAGCCCCAGACCGGGCCAACTCACTTGCCTCGGGTCCCTTTCTCTACACTGAGTATCCACCCACTTTCAGGTCCCAGGCGCTGACCTCCTTTCTGAGGGACCCAAGATGGCCTTAGGTTTAGGTGTGTCCCCCAGCCAGCCCCACACACCCAGGGACTTTGAAGACTTTCCCAGCCTGGCAGCAGCTGGCTCTCCAGAAAGTACTGAATAAGCAAGGTGTCTAAAGCTGGTCCTCTTAAAGCGTGTCACTGGGAGCTACACCTGCTCTATAAATTCCCCTGGTCTTTATACAGTGGGTCTTCTGGGTACATGCCCTTTGCCTGGTACTGAGTCAAGTTAGCTCATTTGATCTCCTCCACATCCCCTGGGGTGGACATGATCATACCCACTTTTCAGAGGGCCACACTGAAGCTCAGCGAGGCTCTCCTGGGGCTGGGGAGTCAGGAATTGTTTAGGGGAGTAATTCTGCACCCAGCTGATCTGGGGGTGGGGTGCTGTTGAAGAGGTAGGCAGTGACCTTGGCTTTCCTTGGCCCCAGTCCCTTCGGCAGGTGAGGCTGAATGAGATTCTGCTGGACTACTCTCGGGATGCCGCTCTGATCATCCTGTAAGTCACATCTGGCTGGCGGGAGGAGTGGCCTGTTGGGGTGAGGGGTGGCCTGTTGGGATGAGGGGTGGCCTGTTGGGATGAGGGTAGCTGCTCAAAGGGGCCCAGAACGCTGCAGACTCAGCCTGGCGGCTTTTCAGAAAACATGGCCTGTCCAGTGTCTGCCTCACGGCGCTGGCGTGAGGGTCAGCTGGCAGGTCACAGGCCGCGTGTGTCCCAGGCATTGCTGATCTCCCTTGCTGTCTCTGTGTACTCCTTTTCCTGCCAACCAGGCTTGGTAAATGGAGGCAGCTCATCCCAGACGCCAGTGAGTGTGTCTCCTAGTTTGGAAATTGCCCAACCCCTATTGGCTATCTGCCGTCTCTTACTGATTTGAGTGTCCAATCTGGACAACAGGAATGGAGGCTGCTCTGGCCACACTGTCCCTCCCTGGACCTACACTCACCCCACGCTGCCCTCTGATGTTAGCCAGGGCTGAGCAAGTGGACAGGGACAGTGGCAAGGAGGGGTCTCCATGTGGCTCTAACCTCTCTGAGGCCAGTAATAAGAACATGGCCAGCCAAGGCCTTCACATCTGTAGCTTAGGGTAACACAGATTTTGATAAGGCTTTTCCCACGCTTGCTGGGGGCCAAGCACTCTGTCTGCTCAGACAGGACATTTCATTTGTAGGGGCTTCTACCACATGAGAACATAAAGCCCCCAGCCTAACATATGGCGCTTGCATTGAAACCCCAGATGGGACTCACAGCAGGGATCCTTCTACCTCTGCCTCTCTGGCAGTCAGCAACCATGGACTTGTCAAGAGGTGGCCTTCTTTTCAAGGCGTGTTCTGATATGGGGTCTTATTCCTAAAACCCCGAGGTGTGTTGAGGAGGAAGGCCAGGGTCAGTCTTACTTGATAATGAGATGGTCACTGTCATGCACAGATGACGGTGTGGGCATGAGCTTTCAACAGTGTCCTCTTCAGTGTGCATGAGTCTAAACATCCTGGCAGACTTGCCAAGTGTTATCTGCTCTGGAGAGCAAGCCCGTATCTGCTGATACAAGCACTACAGTAGGGTTTCTATTGCTGTGAGAAACCACCACCAAAAGCAAGTTGGAAAGGAAAACGTTTATTTCAACCCACAGCTTGTAAGTCTGTCATCCAGGGAAGTCAGGGCAGGAACTCAAAAGCAGGAACCTAGAGGCAGGAGCTGATGCAGAGACCGTGGAGGGGTGCTGCTGACTGGCTTGCTCTTCCTGGCTTACTCACTCTGCTTTCTTATAGCACCCATGACTACCAGCCCAGGGATGGCACTGCCCACATGGCCTAGGCCCTCCCACTTCAATTATTAATCAAGAAAATGCCCTGCCTGCCCACAGGACAGTCTGCTGAGGACATTTTCTCAATTGTGCTCATCTCAAAAAACTGACTCTACCTTGTGTCAAGTTGACTAGAGACTAGCCAGAGGAAGCAGTAAGGGTGTGGCAAAGAATGTTTACCTCCTGCAGAGAGGCCTCAGACTTAGCACTCTATTGGGTTTAGAATGCATGAGACTCGAGAATGGTCCATTCCCAACCTGGCTGCCCCCTAGACTCCATAGGCCATATCTGACATTGGATCCGCAAGAAGACACTGCCACCAAGGAGCCCCTTGAGGGTGACATGAGGAAATGGAGTCTCTACTTCAGACAGAAATACTCCCTCTTCAGGAAACACCAGTATTGTTCCCTGGAGGCAGTGTAAGTGCCTCTTTGAGAAGATCAACATGGCAAACGGGCAAAGACCCAAAATGCCCCAGCCTTCTAGCAGATAAACAGAAGACTGACAGGTGAAGGCTGAGGGCAAACACTGTGGGACCGTGATTAAGCACGCCATCAGAACCCTGATTCCCGAGGGTCTGGCCCTTCAGCCAGTTCCTCAGCGTGGAAGGCAGCCAAAGGTTAGAGTATGTCCCAGGCTAGACTGTGGGGACAAGGGGTGTGTCTTCTTGGACAGTACTCAAACTGTAGTTCCAGGCACTCACTCAACCAAGGTTCAGGAATCATGTCTTTCATTCACTCGGAACTGTAACAAAATACCATACACTGGGTCACTTGTAAGCAACAGGAGCTCATTTCTCGTAGTTCTGAAGGATGGACGTCTAATATGAAAGTATTAGCAAATTTACTATCTGGTAAAGCCAGCCTTCTGGTCATAGACTCACAAGTCACTGTGAGACCCCTTGTCCTCACATGACGGAACTGTCTAGAGCCGTGTTGTAAAGAGAGCACTAACCTCTCAGCCTGATCACCTCCCTAAACCCCCAGCTCCTAAACCTCTTGCCCATCGCCCTCTGAGCGCAGAGGGAAGCATTTCAACGGGGTGAATTTTAGCTGCTCATGCCTATTCAGACCACAGCAAATGGCTTACTGACTTCGTTCCTGCGGATCACTTCATATGTGTCCAAGGACAGACAGGCATGTAGACTCCTTAGTGACTCGTGGTGTCCTGTGTAGAGTGGCAGTCAAGATCTCAGATGGATTAGCACCAAAGCACAGAGCTCTGAGCTGAAGCAACTGCCAGTCCTTCCCTGGGTCACCCCAGAGGACACCAGAGCCCACACATGCTTTTCCTCAAGGGCTGGCTCCCTGTATTCGGCTCTCAGCCAGCCAATGAATGGGGCCCTACACAGGAAGTTACCGAGCTGAACTCTGCCTTAAAATGCCCTCCTGTGTGGCTCACAGCATTGAAAAGGCGTCCAGACTGTGACACCCAGTGTCAACCAGGTGTGGACCCTCCTAGTGCAGGGCCCTATGTGACAACACTTCCGGTCAGGTGACCCCCATTGTGTCTGAGCACTTTCCAGGGCCTGCAGGAGATCATGCTCTCCTACTGAGAAATCGCTGAGGACAGGATTGCTTTATCACCAACACCTCTCAGAGAATGTTCCTAAGGCAATGTTGGGCCCAGGGTGTGGCCCAAGTCAGAGTACAAGGCGGTGGAGGTGGCTTTATCCCCGATGCTCCAAGACCTCTAACCAGGTGGGGACCTGAGGTGTGAACTCTCCAGAGTACTGGTGTACAGGTGTACAACTCTCCAGATGGCAGAAGCTGCTTCCCCAGGGCTGTAAAGAAGCAGGCTTGCAATCATGACCGGCTGTTAGCTCACTGTGTAACCTTGGTAAGGACGCCCGTGTCTCTCTAGCCTTGGTTTCCCTAATGACCACTGAAGCAGGCTTCAAGGTTCCCTTCCATGGTGCTGTGGCCCCACATTTATTTGCTATTAAAATGAACCTATCTCTCAGGGGCCCCGTGATGAGAAAGTTTACCTGAGTGGCACCTCTCCCTGCCTTTCCCTTCTACCCCCAAACTACAGAAGTCAAACGCCCACCAACCAGTCTCGGCAGGATTAGTCAAGGAGAGCAATGAGGGTGTATCCAGTCACCCTGGAGACGACACCTGTACAAACCCCACCCTAGCCAGCAGCTGCAGCTGTCAACAGGGCCCCAGCTCTTGGACCAACTCCATGGGGTGGACAGAGCAGCTGTGTGTGTGTGTGTATGTGTGTGTGTCGCAACTCTCCAAGCTGGAGACCAGCCCAGATTTCTCAAGGTGCAGTTGAGGTCAGCCTCTTTAGACCTGGGAACCCTAGAAATGCAAATTGTACAGTCTCTCCCAGAAGGGGGCTGGGAAGGGGTTCAGGACCCCCGTCACCAGATATTCTAAGGACAACAAACAGGCAGCAATCCTCTCTGGGACCAGGTGTAATGGACATCTAGGCTAGTGTTGGTTGCAGGCAGAACCTGGCTGTCTGTCTGCTCATCAGTGGGTTATCTGATGAAGCACCCCAACACCTCCACCCATGTGTGAGCACAGCTACACCTGCACAGCCCCACAGCCTCTGTTCCTGTGGAGACCAGATACCCCCTTTCCTTGTAGGGGTTCCCTCCTCAATGCCAAAGAGTAATTACTAAGGAGTACTCACCACCAGTGGATGTGTGAGGATACTGTAGGTATGGGTCTTGCTGCTTCCAAGAATCATCACTAACTGTTCCTTGAGACGAGGACACTGCCATAGGAACTGAGTCCTCTGCTCAGCACCTTCCAGATGGGGAGCGGACGGGCGCTCAGCCTGTCACCATTGGCTCTGTTCAGGGACTTAACATTGACCTAACATTGCCTTGCAATTTCGAACAGAAGTTGTTTTGTTCCTGGTTTTGTTCTAAAGATAAGGAGAGCACATCCTGTTGGCAAGAGCAAGCATGTCATTGGCTGGTGCTTGAGTGAGCTAAAGCTGCCATCCCTGGGACAGGGCCACAGGCTCCACTGAGGGAGGGAACTTGATGCCCAGGCATACTGTAGGAACCCTGAGTGTTTCCGGGCTCTGAAATGGCAGGCACCTGTGCCCTCTGGCCTTTAAAGTTGGTGAATTGGGTTCCCAAAGATAATGTAGCATTTCGTGGATGGCAGTGTCCTCGGCCTCAGGAGTGCCTGTGAAGTCTAAACTTGGCCTTTCTCCTCTCCTGTGCCTTTCCACGGACTGTCACCAAACGCTTTCGAATGAAGATGACAGCTGCTTAGTGACATAGACGTCCTTGTTCCCACGCACCTTTCCTGCTCCTGGGGTCCTCACTTTTTAAACACAGGGCAGTGGCTGTCCCGCTGGTGTTAGGACCCTGCATGTTAGTTAGTGGTCACAGGCTCTTAGTGGGCGTGTGAGGTGGGAGCAAGCAGATGCCGCTGGCAGAAAGGTCTAGAGACCTGGCTGGGGGCCCAGCTCTAGCACCTGCGCCCTGTGTGCCCACAGACAGCCCACGAGGGCAGGTCCTCTCACTTTAGAGAACCCTGAGGCTCAGAGCCAGTCCGGCACTTTGCCAAAGCCACGTGGCTGAGGACATGGGCAAGGCAGCTTCTGTGGGGTCAGATTCTGAACTCTGAACCGCAGTTCCAATCTGCCTGGCTGGCTGCTCCGGCTGGCCTGCCCTACCACTGGGGCACTGTCCACCGCTGGGCTAGACTAAAGCTCGGACAAAACAGTGCCTGGGGAGGACTGGTAGATCTCCAAGTCCCATGTAAGCACTGGTATCCCAACTTCACGCACCACAGCTGGTTCTGTGGGAGGCTGTATTTCCCCGAAGCTGAACCCTAGGCACTGGTACACGGTCCCAGTGCATCGTTAGAATCATTAAGATGGTAGAAAAGTCACTTTCTGATCTAAACAGCCAAACATGACTGAACAGCATTCTAGGACATCTTGTTATTTACATGGTGTTGTGCAATTGGGACAGTGGGGCCCCCCCTCCCCGAGAGGCCATGCTGGAGTCTGCCCTGACACCCTCCCTTGGCCAGGGGGCAGGACCAGGGCATGCAGCTCCATCACACAAGCATGTCATACTGTGGCGCTGGAAAGGCAAGCTTGGCATGGTGCTAGTGACCTCGTGGGGTGGTCTCTCCCACTCAGCAAACATCTTCTGAACCTGCCTCTCTCAGAGTATATTCTAGGCACAGAAGGGAGAGGCCAGGTAAACCCAACCTGCAGGTGGATATATTGGGACACGTATTCTAATGGGGGACACAGACGACAAAGAAATGCAACAAAAGATGCCTTTAAGATTGGGAAGGGCTGTGAAAACAGTCAGATGGGGATTGGATGGGAAGGTGTGGTCAATCAGAGGAGCAAAAACCTGGATGATTCAAAGGAGCCGCCCAGAGCTGGGCATGGTCATTTCCCAAGTGTCAAGAGCATCAACTGCAAAGGTCTGAGGCAGGAGCAGGCTTGGCATTTATCACCGTGGCTCTTCAGTAGTGAGTAGGGCTAAGTGAGGTTGGAAGGGTTGGAGGGGACTGGATCACAGGGTATGTGCGGGCCATGGGTCTGCTTAGAAATACTTTGTGGCTCAAGGTATTCTGAGGAACTCTGTGAAGGACAGTAGCGAGGTCTTAAAGTGCCGGGAAGGAGGCCAGGTGGTGGTGGTGCACGCCTTTAATCCCAGCACTCGAGAAGCAGAGGCAGGTAAATCTCTGTGAGTTCGAGGCCAGCCTGGTCTACAAAGTGAGTTCCAAGACAGGCTCCAAAAAAGCTACACAGAGAAACCCTGTCGGGAAAAAACAAAAAAAGAAAAAAAAAAAAGTGAGTGGGAAGGAGCCATGAACAAGCAGGAAGCTGATGGACTGTTCAGAGAACAAGGCCTGGGCTGGGCTGTGTGGGGGAAGCCCTGGGTAATTCCTCTGCCACTGCTCTTCTTCCTACAGCACCTTGCCCATCGGAAGGAAGGGGAAGTGCCCCAGTTCGCTGTACATGGCCTGGCTGGAGACCCTGTCCCAGGACCTCAGACCTCCCGTCGTCCTTATACGAGGCAACCAGGAGAATGTGCTCACCTTTTATTGCCAGTGATACCCAGTGTTCCTGCCCAGAGCCGAGGGTGTGGGGGTGGAGTCAGAACTCACCCTCTCCAGCTCCGAGTCCTGATTCAGACTGATTCATCACATCTGCTGGTCCCCTGCAGAAGACGGTGTGTTTCCAAACTGGCTGAACCCCGACAGATACACCTTCTGGGCCTTGAAGTTGCATGGAAGTCTCTGGAAGATTCTATCTCTTTTTAAAAAGCTTTTTCTTGATGACCAAGTAGTAAACTGCAGTCTTTGATTTGTATGCGAATTGAGTCCCAGCATGGGGTGTACATCTTAGCAGTCTCTCCAGACCATCCGGGCAACCATGCCCAAACCCATCTCCTTCCCGCATACAGGAGAGCGGGAGCCTGCCCTGGGGGCCTGTGCGGAGCTCCGAGGACCACAGGGTCCTCTGAGCCTGCGCGGTAAGGCACGTTTCTTCAGCCCTCACTCCTGTTGCTTTTCAGTGATGGCGCCTAGGTGTTCTCACTGGTTATTTAGCCCAGGGTCGCTAAGGTTCTCTGATTACACAGTCCATGGTTTTCCTGGGGACTCCGGAACAACTGACCGGAAGCATCAAATTGCAAAGCAGTATTCTCACTCTAGGGGGCACCCTCCAGATTCATTCATTCATTTTCTCTCTCTCTCTCTCTCTCTCTCTCTCTCTCTCTCTCTCTCTCTCTCTCTTTCTCTTTCTCTTCCTCTCTCCCTCCCTCCCTCCCTCTCTCTCCCTCCCTCCCTCCCTCCCTCCCTCCTCCCTCCCTTCCTCTCTCCCTCCTTCCTTTCTTCCTTCTGACAGAGTCTCATGTAGTCCAGGTTGGACTTGAACTTGCTCTGTAACCAAGAACAGCTTCGAACTTCTGATTCTCCTGCCTCTGCTCCAGAGTGCTGGGATTCCAGGCACATGCCTGGAGTTTTATGGGGTGCTAGGGTTCAAACCTACAGCTTTATGGCTATCAGGCAAGTACTCCACCAACTACGCTGCCCCACCCAGTCTCTTTTCTGCTTCTTTTGAAGGTTGGTTGTAATCTGCTAGATGATTTCCAGACCCACTCATGGGCAGTGATCGATGATTTGAAAAATGGGTTTCATTTCCGCAGGTTGTGTGTAGGGCCTGTGCTGGATAATTTTTTTGTTTGAGGTTTTGTTTTGTTTGTCAACTTGACACAAGCTAGGGCCATCTAAGAAGAAATTGCAATTGAGGAAATGCCTCCCTCTGACTGGCCTGTAGTGACTGATGTGGGAGGGCCTAGCTCTCCATGTTGCATTATCACCCCTGGGCAGGTGGACCTGGGTTGTACAAGGAAGCGGCTGAGCAAGCCACGGGGAACGAGCCAGTAAGAAGTGTTCCTCCATGGCCTCTGCTTCAGCTCCTGCCTTGAGTTCCCGCCCTGACTTCACTTCACGATGAACTGTAAGCTGTAAGATGAAATAAACCTTTTTCTCCCCAAGTTGCTTTTGGTCATGGTGTTTATCCAGTGACAGAGACCCTGACTCAGCCTGGATGCTGCTTCTGTCCCTGCCTGAGTGACAGGAGTGCCCAGAAAGACTGACAAGAAGGCCAAGATTCAAGGGCCCTGGTGGTTTAAAAGGGGAAGCAGAGGAGACATGGAGATGGCAAGATGGGTCAAGGAAGAAAGGAACAGGTCCTACCCGGCCCCGAGCTGAGGGGTCCACCCGCCCAGGTGAGAGAGAGCAGGTTGGCGGAAGGCCAGGTGCCTCGAGGAAAGGCAGGGCAGTGGCGGGAGCTGGGCAGGTGGTAAAAAGACTTACACCTGGCTCCAGGGAGTGTGCGGAGCGGCTGCAGGTTCGGTCCCTGAGAAAATGGTGGCTGCTGAGGTGGACGTGTGGGACAAATGTGAGCACGCACTGAGCGTAGGGCACAGGGACAGGTGTTGAGACACCAAATCAAAACACCCTGGGCTTTGCTCTCTTGGCAGGCAGAGGCAGAAGCCGAGTTGTTTGGTGAGGTCAGAGGGTCAGTTGGCGTAGGAATATTTACCCCTGTTTGTTTTCACCCTGCCTCCTCTCCCACGCCCACCTGCAGTCAGTCCACGGGGAGCACACAGGCCTCAGCCTCCGGATGCTGTCCAGCATGTGGGAGCTCTCCTCCACTGAAAAGGAGGCTGAGTACAAAGATCCATGACGCGGCCACCTGAGAACTTGGATCTGAGTTTCTGATACTCTCCATTGTGTGACTTCAGAAGTGCCGTCCTAATCTCTCCGGGTCTCTGTTTACAAAGCGGAAGAATTGGGCCGCAGTAGGTGTCCCCAGACAGTTCACCTAACAGTTTACCAAAGAGTTTCTAGAGCAGGGACGCGCAGGTGGGGACGGGCAGGTGGGGAAGGGTGGACATTCCTTAGTCCCCACCTCCCCCCCCATGCCCACTTCTTCCTGCTTCCTTGCTGTGGAGCTTTGGGTCAGGTCTCCAGAGTGTCCCAGTCCCCTGTGAGGCAGCGGCAGGAGAGGGAGTCCAGTGTCCATTGCATTATTCTTTCTGCCTTTGGGTAACAAAATGCTTCACACTTTAAAAAAAAATTAATTTTTGTTTTTAACTATGTGTATGTATGTGTGTTCCTGTGTGGGTATGTACAAAGGAGTGCAGGTGTCATCAGAGGCTAGAGGTGAAGAGTCCCCTGGAACTTCAGTTACAGACACTTGTAAACTAGCTGCCTGAATATGTTTGTTGGGAACCAAACGCGGGTCTTCTGGAAGAGCAGTGCATTCTCCTAATCACGGAGCCATCCCACTAGCCCCTTACTACACTATAGAGCCAGGGGCTACTGCCCCTGATCAAGGCTTTTGTTAAAGATGCTTTTGTTTTGATGCTGCCACAGAGAGGAAAAACACAGGGCGACTCCAGCTCTAGCCTCAGGATGCGGAAGCCTTCACTCCCCTCCCCCACCCGCAGGTCACAGCTCCACTAAGTAGTTCTCAATCCCTCCCTCCCCCCTCAGCATTTTAGCCTCCAGAGTGGTGGTTCCTTCCTTCAGCTCCCAGACAGATTTCTTGTGGCTTTGAAGTAAGTACAGTCCACTTTCCACTCTGTAGTCCTGCCACTTCCCCGGTCCAAGGCTTCGCCTCATCAGCCCATAGGGAGTCCCACTCAGAACTGAATTCCTTTTCAAGCATCTGCCTGACCACCCAACTGTGGCCAGGCTGAGGTGGGTTTCACAGAAATGAGACCCGATGGAATGTTCCAGAAGAACCACCTGCCTGGGAAGCCCCTAACGCAGATGCAAAGCAGTCAGATTGACCTCACCCAGCTCAGGCAGTCAGCAAACAACGCTTCAGGAATGTTCACCGAACATGGAAGCCCAGACACTGGCCGGATTGCTAATAACCCAACTTGTGGGGTGTTTAATCTTGTGACTGAAGACACAATGCCAAGGAAGGACCTGCTTCCTGAAACACACCACAGCAATTCACTTTCTGAAAACACAGAGGAGAGTCCCTGGCTGGGCGGCCTCCAAAGGGAAGTCCTCTGGGTAAAGGCAGTGTCGCACGGTTTAAAAAAAAAAAAAAGAAGCAAGGGCTTCTGAGATTTGCAAAGAAAATACCAGTAGCAAAAGATACTGGGACATTTTGGTAACAAAGCCAAGCAAGGGAGAATATGTTATTGAAAAGAGACTTGGAGAGCCTGGTGTGTTGGCTCATGCTGTAAGCCCAGCTCTTGGGAGGCTGAGGCAGGAGAATTGCCAATACTTTAAGGCCAACAGGGACTATAGAAGGAGACCTTGTCTCAATACCCGCCCCCCTGCCCCCCTGCCCCCCCCAAAAGAGTCTTAAAAGATGGGTGGGATTCAACAGAAGGAGAAGTGAGAGCTGGGGTTGGGAGGAGCATGCCAGCAGGAAGAAATGCTTGAGCAAGGGCCAGAAAGAACAGCTCGAGATATGCTGGGAGAACCAGAATTAACCAGCTTTCCTAGAGGATGAGAACCGTACACGTGGGAGAGTAAGAATGGGAAGGCCAGCATGTACAGGCCCCAGGTATAACGCTGACACTGGGCAAGTCGGTGCATGCCTGTAATGCCAGCAGAGGCTGAGGCAGGATTGTGAGTTCAAGACCAGCCCGTGACATGGAGAAGCCCCTGTCTTAAACTTCTCCAGGTTGGGGAGGGTGAGCTTCCGGATAACCCAGAGGAGCTCTCTACTGAAGGTGAGGGGCAGATCCAAGCTTCAGATAGATGGTGAGGGTGGGAAGAAAATCCAGGAGGACCCCGGGGAAACTGAGTGGAATCCCGAGGTGAGTTAACTTCTAAGCAAGGCAGATGGAAGAGAGAAGAGGAAGACACAGACAACGGTGGCAAGAAATGGAAGTGGGGATTGCCTGGATGCAGGCGTGAACAGAGACGGGGCCCCAGACGCTGAGGATGAAGGACAGTGGGAACACAGGGCAGGGGACAGCTTAACGTTGTAGAAGGAGACTGAGCAGATTTGGCTGTGCTGCTGTATTGGATGCTTTTCTCGGCGATGTGGCAAAATGTCTGATAGAGACGACTGAGGAAGGAAACGTGTATGCTGGCTGAGTGGGTAGTCCATCTGGGCCAGGGAGGTGTGTGAGCAGGAGCCTGAGGCAGCTGGTCAGGAAGCAGAGATAAATGGCAGGCTTGCTCTATTCTTCTCAGTCAGTCTGGGAGTCCAGCCCAGCATGGAAGGGAGCACGTTCCAAGTGGGTCTTCCTGCTTCAGTGAAATGTGTCTGGAGACATCCTCCCAAATGGACCTGCCCAGAGCTTTGTCTTAGGTGATTCTGAATTACGTCAAATCGATGGTCAAGATAAGCCACCCCAGGTATTTTATGTGTGAGCACAAACCAATCTGCCAGAACTATGACCCAGGAGCTCTGGAGGAACTCGGGGGAATTTCATCATTGGCTGGAAGCTCTTGGAAAAAGTGAGCAGAAACAGACCTGAGAGACACACTCGTGATCAGGATTCGGAAAGCACAGCCAGGCATATAAGCCACATCTTAAATGAGATTAAGAGAGAACATGGGGAACTGAGAGCAGAGGCCAGACCTTGGGAAGGGCTCCACTCAGCAGGCAGGAGGAAGGGGCGGCAGCTGTTGGGAGAGCTGCCTCAGTGGTCAAGAGCACTCGCCCGCTCTTCCATAGGAGCCTAGTTGGGTTTCCAGCACCCACATGGTGGCTCACAACTACCTGTAACTCCAGTTTCAGGAGATTTGACACACAAGGCATGCACATGACACACATACATACATGCAGGCAGTTACACATACTTAAAATGGTTAAGAAATTTGAAAAATTAAAAACCCAAAGAGCACTGGTGGAGCGAGGGAGCCAAGTGCTTCAGGAGGCTCCAAAGAAGGAAGTGAGGAGGGAGGCCCACCCCACAGCCACCGACTGAGGCCAGACAGTGCTGCTCCTCTGGGCTCCGTGGTGCCCTACAGAGAATGGTTTGGCGAGGTGGCAGGCCGGGAGGGGACTGAGGAATGGAAATGCCTGTCTTCCATGCCAGTTCTGTGGCTGGAAGCATGTCCCTGTGGTCTTCACATGTACCTCCTTATGTGGCACTCAGGAACCCTACCAGGGTAGGTCTCTCAAGACTGACCTGGCTGGTGTGTGACTTTGAACGACACGCACCACCTCTGCCTTTCCCAAAGTCACCGTTTTTGGCTCACCGGTCCCCTCCTCTTCCTGCATTCAGCCTCT